AAATCAACGTCAAAATCAACATAAGTCACAAAATCACCACATATATAATCAATTATATACAATGTTTTATTGATATCAGATATTGCGTGAATATTGCAAGAAAGACGCGATGAGTATCCAGAAGTATGCTGTACAATAACACATTAATGTCATAAACGAGTTCATCAATGCCATGATTTGAATAAATAATTTTTCCATATCTGACAAAACTATGTTGTTCTTACAGTGTTAATGCAGGGTTCATTGATGACCCTAATTTATACAATGTTGAGGTTGGCCCAAGCACTGAAGCGAAGTCATCTGTTAGCGTGGTCACTATCTCACAAGATAAAATCATAGAGAAGGAAACAGCAGGTGTATATTCGCACTTCAACCAGTAAGTTACCATGCAACGAATTTGACTCGTTTCTGTGGGATTTAATTTCTGCCACGGTACTATTCCAAAACTTATTAGGATTCCTCAAATGCGTTCAAAAAACAGAAATTTGACTCAGCGAATAATTTGGATGTATGGTTATCGTTTTTTTAAAGTTAGACGATAATGAATATGGAATATTTTTTTGATGGGCATATATGTCATGTTACCCTCTATATTCCAGTGCAAAACACTTACCTGATAAATGCATACGTACTCAACTCTGTGATATCCGCCAAGCAAGATTTGATGAATTGCCAACTCCACATGATTTGGAAAGTGTTTTGAATATAATGGGAGATGAAAATCATGATGATTTCCCGATATATAGAGCAAATGGAGAAGGTCATCTGTGGTTCACTAACTGGTCTTGTAAGTGTTTATCCCATCAAACGAAGTTCGGGGGATAAGAGAACGTCTCCGTCCGTACGTCCGTCCGGGCAATAACTCAAATACCGTTGATACAATATCGTTCATAATTGATAAGAATATGCCCCAGGGGAGTACAAGTGTTGCTCGAAAGTCTGTCCGGCGGTTTCAAAATGGCCGCCATTTTAGTGTAAATTTTCAGTACTTTGGGTACAGCATATAAAACTGTAATATTTTTCAAAATCGAGCCAATGTTGCTGGTGTGTGTGCTATAACTTTAAAAGTAACTCAGCGATTTTTTCATATTAGTGTGTTCGTACCCTGCGTGCAGAGTCTAGTTAAACTACAAGAAGACGAAGCTTACTTTTAAGAAGTGAAGTCAAACGAATGGAAAGGGTAGTGTGTTCGTGAGCGGCCATTTTGAAAATTGCCATGCATTTTGCATGTTATTTTATAAGCATAACGCGTTGGCTAGCGTACAAAGCCATTTTAAAAATTGATTTCGTTGAATTATTAGGTAAACATAAATACACTTTGGCTTATGAGAAGCCATTTTAAAAAATGGTACCCATTCCTATGTTTGTTATTTTACGATTTTTGCTATAACTGAAAAGTAGTTGAGGGATTTTGTAAAATGGCAGCCATTGATGTTCGATAGGATTTGCTACGCCATGGCGTTGCTGTTATCTAGTTAAAAATTGATTCTGTCACAATGCAAGTACACGGACAGGAACTGATCAGTCATTCAAAAAAAACGACTAAGTTACTTTACTTTTACCGACACGATTTTCTGACCCTCCATGACCAAAATGACCAGGCTTAGTTAAGCGAGCAAAATTATTCAAAATAAATGAAGCAAGACGTGTTTAGCATAAAGTAGGATAAGATTGACAACGAAAACAATACAAATAAATTATTATAATTCTAATATGTTTCAGCTGTAATGGACTTCACGAGGAAAAGGGTATTGGTTTACAAGGACAATCCCAAAACATCGGAACCAATCGCTATTCTGCCATTTTCTTTAGTAATGGATGATAACCATAATATGGCGAAACAGTGAACATGTTATGATGACTTTACATTGTGTATTTTGAAATAATAATCTACTAAGTACCTAATGGAGGCACGAAACAACATTATCTACAAGTTGAATTAATATACATGTAATGTGTCACTTATAACGTACACTCCCCTCCATAAGTTTGGCAACCTTATAAGTAGCTCCCCCATTGAACTTCGTGTTGAATTTTTTATTTACTTAACCTGCGATGAAATAACTTACAATATTAATGCAAACGTAACTTGACCTTATTTCCAATACGTCCAAATTTTCCCATTTTTTCCTCAATTGCAATAGGTGGAAAATTGATGATAAAGATGAATTTTTGAAAATCGTCATCCCCATGTAAACCAATGGGAAATGGTGGGTTCGGGGCAAATCAGAAATCAGGATATCTAATCAGTAAAGAGATTCAGCAAAAAATATGTTTAAATAGAAAATTGAATTGTCTAACTTTTTTGTACACTAAGTGTTTAGTTTACTTGATGAATACTAAAGTTACAGAGCTTCAAAGTCATTTTTGAAAATCATTTTTCGCCTCCTGTGTTATTTCAACGGGAGAGTTTTTTTGAAAAACAATTTTGACTTCAAAGCCCTGTAACTTAGTAAATCCTGAAGAAACGTATCAATTTTCTGTTTAATAAAGTTAGCAAATTCAATGGCCTACCTAACTCGTATTGTTGCTAGGACTCTGATGGATATTCTGTCATATGACTTGCGGCAAACCTACCATTTCCCATTGGTTTACATCGGAATGTCGATTTTCAAAAATTCATCAGATTTATCATCAATTTTCGACCTATTATAATTGAGGAAAAAATGAGAAAATTTGGAGGTATTGGAAAGAAAGTGAAATTACGTTTCCATTAATAGTATAAGTATTTTCATCGCAGGTTAAGTAAATAAAAATTCAAAGGTAAATAGGCTTTAACACGTAGTTCAATGGAGGAGTTAAGGTTGCCAAACTTATGGAGGGGAGTGTAACTTGGCAGAGGTGCTTATTGTGATATCGGATGAGATTCAAATATTTAGGACGGGTGTATATTTTAAATATTATAATATATATTTTAATAAAATAATTTACACTTTTGCTGTCAACGACAGTCACTATTTGTATAATATTCAATAGGCACGACTTAGTCCAGCGTGATTTTAATTTTATATATCCCCCGTGAATACATTATTATGATTAATTTAAATAGTTTATATTTGTGATAGTTTGTTATTCAATGAATGTGAGTGAGTGAGTGAGTGAGTGAATAATATTACAATATTTATTTCGGTGAATACCTGTGACTCTTTCATAAGGTGATATTCAACCAAGTTTGTAAAAAATCAAAGGGGGCCCATTTGACCATTTCGGCCAAAAAGCACTTGAAAAGTGTCCAGATGTGGAAAACTGCATGTTTTGAAAGAAGTTTTGGCTAGGGGGAGAGGGGGGGGGGGTCGCTTGCACACCATGCGCCCCGGGCCCTGTGCCCGCCTTGGCTACTGGACTTTGTCATGATATCATAGAGCGGCCTACATGTATTTCATGTGTTGTGTCTGAAGGACTTAAACCACAGTAAATTTGATTTGGGCAAGGGAACTTATTAAAACAGCATTGATATTACGATATATTAAAACATGCCCAAAATCAAACGCTAAGGGGGGGGGGGGGATAATGCAATAAAGTTTGACAAATCTTAGTTGTGATAATCATCTCTAACCTAGGATGAAAAAAAGAAGTCCATGTGATATGAGAGTCACTCATCTCTGTTTTATTATATGTCTCTAATTATGTACTCTCCAATATATTATGGAGGCATAAAGATACATAACAAACATAGACATGGCAATATTTAGCTAATTACCATCTGATTTGGCTTGTGAAAATCCAGGGGGGGGGTACTACAATTGAAATTGATTGTGAAGAGGTTTAGGATCCAGGTAAGATTGATTTCGGATTGATCTGTGATTTGTGTTACCGTTAATTATATAGATGTCGCTAGTGTCGATTAAATTTGTTTTAACCTCTCAGTTTATAGATATCGCTAGTATCGTTACATTCGTTTCATCTATTTCAAGTTGGCATTTAGATTTTGTGGCGGAAAAAATAATTTGCAAAAAATTAGGATTTTGTAAGTATAATTGGATTTAGAGATGATTATGTGATCAACAATTTATATAAAGTGCCTAAAGTTGAAATGGCAGTTTTCAAAACTGGAGCTAGTCTGAAAACTAGTGTCATTTTCATTTTTTTCGATTTCATTCATCAAATTGATCAATTAGATCTAGTCTATTCTAGAATCTAATTTTTATTTCCAACTCCAGTCCAGTTGAAATTCATTGAAACCCATTCATTGAAATAGGCCTATTCAATTTCAAGGTAGCTTATCTGATTCTGATCTTGATTGATGTTGATCTTTATTTTATGACAAGAGCCCAGGCTTGTTGGTTGTTTGGTCGGTTAGTTCCAATTTAGTGGCGCTGTCATGTCACCAAATAATGCCAATGTTTTGTCTCAGGGTGCGTCAGGAATGAATCCATAGGCCCCAGGTTCATGTATTAAAAAATTGAGATGTTTTTTATTCATGTTCGTTCCTTTGCCTATGAATGAAGGGCATTCAACTTCAGACAAATAAACCATTGATCTAGGCGAGTTGCACGGATTATGGGATGTCCTACTATTAGCTGATTATATATTCACCAGGTTATGCAGTTAAAATTCCCCTTTCATATCTTCATGGTTTCTGCACATGCGTCCCATATGCATCGCACGATCTGATTGGTCCAACTGCGAAAAAAAAGCGTTCTCGATCTAGTAAACAAATTTTACGATGGTCTTATATGTATAGTATTATCTGGCTAGAATATAAAGATTGAGGTATGCATTTTTTTTCTATATCATATAGGGTGTTAACTCGGGCTTGTATGACTGCCAACCAGTGATCTCCCCAGCATTAAAGCAAGTGGGCGCAGCACCCACCTGAGATTTTGAAAATAGACTTGCACCCACCTGAAAATCTAATTGCACCCACTTGAAAATGAGAAAAATTATGGAAAAAGGACATATTTTGACCAATTTTGGTCTGAATTGTGAAAATAAGAATTTTGCACCCACCTGAGAAAAAATCCTGGGGAGATCACTGCCAACACTGGACAATCATGATAAATATTTTTTTCTGAAATTTGCTTCATGACCTCTTGATCCTTGGCTAGTTGATAGATGAACTTGTAATTACCTAGAATGTTGTTCAAATCCTTAGTGCCCGGGTGTAAACTGTATACAAAATTCGACGGGGATCCTAGGCTGAACTTAACCCTCAAATCAGTAAGTTCCCATACCAATCTACCAAATTCCAATGTGGTCCCATACCAACCAAATTAACGCCCAAAAGCCATACTGTACCAAATGTCTAAATACAAGGTTCGATTCATATATTCTGGTAAAAATGCATATACAATACAGGCCCGAAGCCAGGATTTTCCAAGGGGTTCACTTTTTAAGATTCCAGGGAGGGGGCTCACTTTGGTAAATTTGGTCCAAAATCACATGAAAAATACTCAGAATGGTGAAAAACTCCACAGTGATAATGATTTAGCCATAAAGTATAGTAAAATTGTTGAGCTCTCATGTTGCAGAACAATTGGCAGAGCAATGTAAAATATATAAGTAGGAAGTCAGTTAAGAACGTTTTTTGGACTGAGTCTGGTGTTTTACGTAATTTGAAAATTGAATTAATGTTTGAAAGAACTTGAATGCTTCATAGACATATGTATTGACAAAACAAATTTAGTTGTTGTTTTATATAAAATAGTATACAATTTTATTTATATTTAATAACTATTTACAATTTATAGTGTAACATGTATTTACAATTTGGCAATTCATTGGGAACTTTTTATCCAGTGTTTAAAATGCTGTATGTTTAACTCCATTTATAATCTTGGTTTTACCGAGACTTTGAGACTTTCCAGATTGTTGAGTGTTCATTCCACAGGAACAGTTTTCTTGAGAGTATTGGTTCAGAATACAGAAAACCTTTGATGTTTCAAACTCACAGTAATCATTGTCTGTATTGTCCTCAAAATGTAGCTTCAAATCATCATCATCATACTGTGAAGAAACAGTGTGAAGTTTATTTGGGTGAGATTCCTCTCTGATGATGTCATCATAGTTCGTGGTTGAAGCCCCGATAGGTGCGATGTATCCATTTTCACCTGGAACAATAAACTCATCTGCGAAGTCGAGGAGATCATTCAGTGTTCCATTGCTGACCTTGTTCTTTTTCGCAGGGTGTGCACATTTGCCATTGTTTGTGATGTCATCATTGTCAGCATCTAAACTCTCCATTGATGATGAGATTCCACGTTGAACTATTTCCTCAATATTCTCACTTAGTTTCCTTATACCATCAGCTTGCATTTTATTTTGAAGTCTGACTGCTGCATGTTTCATTACGTTAAACAGTTTCCCAATAGATGAACGGCGACTTTTAGCCCTTTTATTAACTTGTGGTGTTGGATATTTTCCCTGGATTTGCATCCTCTTATCAGTTGTGTTTCCATCAAACATCTCCCAGGATACTTGTTTTGCCATGATATCTGTTGTTGTTAACTTGGAGATACTGATGGTTGTTTTGTAAATAGACTGTTGACTGATGAGAGCTATCAGAAACTGATACTGATTTTGGACAGCACACAGCCTTTTATTTGAAACAGTTGACATGTTTGTTTAGAAATGCCATTTGCACCTGATTCTCATTGTTTAAAACTTTGTCATGTTTAAGCTGCAAGGAAACAATTTTGACACCTGTTTGTTTGTTGTCATAATCTTCATGTTTAAAACTGGTTAAGTGATTTTAACTGATTTGACTATCAAAGGAATTTGTATATCTCACTGAACTTGTTTTAAGAATTCGAACATTAACTGGTATTAAACTTTAATTTTTTTTAGAATTAAAAGTTGAATTGTAGAAACTATAATATATCAGGCATCAGACACTTTTAACTAAAGAACTAATAAGAGAATGGAAGTTACAAATTTCAAGGCTCAGTCAGTTAAATTCTTCTATATAATCTTAATATTAATAAACAATTTTAACCTTCTGCATGCTAACTTAATTCAGCAAATATATCCCACGCGACTGACTTATTTTTCAAAGAGTGCAAAAAATGATATGCCTGGACTAAATAATTAATATCTCAATAACTACTGAATGAATCTGGATAAAATTTTCACAAAGAGAAGATACATTGGCCTGGCTCATGAAAAAAATGTTCTCATGAATTTTTTACATAAATAAACAGGACTGGGCATAAATATACCATGAATACTCCTCCGGAATCCGCCGCTTCACCCCTGTGGAGATTCAACGTCTGGTCAGAATCCAAAACTGAATTTGCAGCGATCGAATGTTCATTTTTCAGTTCAGAAAATATTCTAGTTTCTATTTTCGATGACCATTATCGGCTTCCAAGAGCCTAAAGAGCTCGAAATCGCAATCCATTTCCTCCACATGTTCGTTGTGATTGTATTTGGCCGCCATTTTGTACGATTTGTTCACTAAAAACGACTTAAACACTGTTTAAATCTGCTTTCTAGGTCAACAGGAAGTCCCCACGTAAGGACTAAATAAATCGGGCAATCTGATTGGATCATAAGACCGGCGGGAAAAAGTTAAGTTTTTGAAAGTTTAAATTCGACTGGAGTCGCGGGCAGTTGCCGGGGATTGTTAAGCACGGGCGACTACGCTTGCTGGTAGCATGCTAAAGGTTAACATTTCAGAATATGTTTCACAGATACAATGTTTATAAACAATCTGTTTTTAATCACTGTGTCATTAAAAATTATTGAGTAATCCCAAGATAAAATGTTTGTTGGCACCTGTCTACCTGTTATTGTTTGTAAACAATGTCACCTGTGCAGTACCTTCAATAACAGGTGAAAAACATTTCAAACAAGATGACCTGCAAAAACTTTGGCTTCAGTTATTGTACAATTCAATATTATAAACTAAGTTATCCAAAAAAAGAATGATATATCAATAGTCTTTTCAATTTTATTACCTAGAAAACATCCAGGAATGATATTAATAAAATAAACTGAACAAGATTTGTAGGGATATAGAGAAGTCATCCATCAGTAATATCAAAAGAAGCACGAATAAGATCAGAATCAACAAGGAAATTTATAAGTTTTAATAATGAAGATGAAATGAACAGCATTTAAAGAGATTTCTGTCTGTCTTTTCTTTTGTCTTGGTGACAACTAGAATACAAGTATTTAAGTAGAAAGATTTGATTCCAATTTTATGGCCTTGTGCCTTATGGGCATATAATCTCTACTTGAGGAGGAAATTTTAATATGGCTGCTGAATTCAAAATGGCCACCATTTTTTGTAGAACTGTAATACCAGTTGATGAATTTGGTTCAGAATCAGATGTTATATATGCCCAGAGACATAGGAGTTCTGCCAAAGAAATAATTTTTAAACTAGCCACTGAATTTCAAAATGACCACCATTTTCCATAAAAATGTGTAATTTTTGACAGCTTAGATATCATTTTTGGACAAAATTATGCAATTTAGTAAAAATTTTATAGGCTAGGACCTCTGCTCAAGGAAGCATTTACAATATGGCTGCTCGCTTACATCTAAACAACTGCATTTTTCATAAAGAAATGTTTTATAACTCAAATACCAGTTGACAGTTTGATACCAGTTTGGTTCATATTTTATATGCTGATGCTTTAAGGACATAAGGCTCTGCTTAAGAAGGAATTTTCTAGATGGCTGCTGAGTTAAAAATAGCTGCCATTTTCATAAAAAATGTAATTTTAAATAATCTACACTGTAAGTACCATTTACAGGATTTAGTGCACATTTTGTAGTTAAAGGACCACCTCTCAAGAAGGAATTTGCAATATGACCACATTGTTTTTTAAATGGCTACCATTTTTGTTAAAAAATATAATCTTTGATAACACAAACACCATAATTATAATTTGACAGATTTGGTTGAAATTTTAGATGTTGACGCAATATGCACTAAAATCTGCTCAAGAAAGGAATTTTCAAATTTACACACAAATTCAAAATGGCCACCTTATTAAATAAAATTTACCTTTTTTGATAACTCAAATTACATTTGCCAGATTTGGGTCAGATTAAATGTGCCTTTTAGTCTATATTGTGCCTATATCTTATTTGAATAGGATCAAGAAGAAAAGCTGTTCAATTCAAAATGGCTGCCATTTTTCAGGAAACTTATGATTTCTTCTGATAACACAAATACCTGTCCCCAGTTTTGATCCAAATTTTATATGTTAATGGTCATTAGACCTTTGCTTAAGAAAGAATTGAATACAATAAAACCTGTATGTTGAACTTTCTTTTCCAAGGAAAACATTCAGTCTTTGTAGGTGTTAACTACAGAGAGGGTAATTTATACAGAAGTCAATAGCACTGGTGATCCACTTGATTACGCTGGAACCGTTTCGGTAACAAAATGTGGGAATGTCCGAGGTACAATTTTTCTTTTTTCCTTATTTCACACGTTGTAGGCAGAATTCCCATTACATTTTTATCACAAACGTGTATCAGTATCATATGTTTAAGAAAATGTACACATTTGCGAACAAATAGTTCAGAAGACAACGGAATCATAGATTCAGTTCCTCACGTAAGTTACATAAACGGTATTTTGAAAAACAGTTAAGATCTGCACTTTTAACCCCTACCGTTACATAACTTAAGTGAGGAATTCAAGCGACGATTCTGTTGTCTTCTGAGCTATTTTTTTCACAAACATGTACATGTCTAAAACATATGATACTGATACACGTTTGTGAGAAAAAATGTTGTGGGGATTCTACCTACGACGTGTGAAATAAGGAAAAAAGAAAAATCGTACCTTTTCGGTAACCAGCGTAATCGAGCGGATCACCGGTGAATAGAGTATATTTGGAGAAAGGTGTCAACTAGAGACAAATGTTCAGTAGATAAGGTTTTCACTAGAGAGAGGTGTTTATAAGACAGATTTTACTGTATATGACATCATCATGTCACATCATGGGTGTAGATTTTGCCAAATGGAGAGAATATATATATATATATTGAACATTTCTTTACCAAGAAAAAACGTTCAGTGTTGGTAGGTGTTCACTTTAGAGAGGGTAATTTATATGTAGAAGTCAAGGGGGTCTACTAGAGACAGGTGTTCACTATATAGACTTAGAAAGGGTAATTTACACAGAATTCAAAAGGGTATGTGTGGAGAAGTGTGTCTACTAGAGACAGCGTTCACTAGATAAGCTTTTCACAAGAGGGAGAGGTGTTTATAAGACAGGTTTTACCGTATATGACATCATGTCATATCATGGGTGTATATTTTGTTAAAAGGAGAGAAAACACTTCATAAATGTACTTCTTAGACATTTGTAGAAACAAAACAAGTTGTTTTATATAAAATAGTATAAGATTTTATTTATATTTAATGACTATTTACAATTTATAGTGAAACATGTATTTACAATTTGGCAATTCATTAGCAACTTTTAATCCAGTGTTTAAAATGCTGTATGTTTAACTCCATTCATAATCTTGGTTCTACCGAGACTTTGAGACTTTACTCTTCCAGATTGTTGAGTGTTCATTCCAAAGGAACAGTTTTCTTGAGAGTATTGATTCAGAATACAGAAAACCTTTGATGTTTCAAACTTGCAAAAATCGATGTCTGTATTGTTCTCAAAATGAAGCTTCAAATCATCATACTGCGAATAAACAGCATGAAGCTTATTTGGGTGAGATTCCGCTCTGATGATGTCATCATATGCACAGTTCGTGTTTGAAGCCCTGATAGGTGCGATGTATCCATTTTCACCTGGTACAATAAACTCATCTGCGAAGTCGAGGAGATCATTCAGTGTTCCATTGCTGACCTTGTTCTTTTTCGCAGGTTGTGCACATTTACCATTGTTTGTGATGTCATCATTGTCAGCATCTAAACTCTCCATTGATGATGAGATTCCACGTTGAACTATATCCTCAATATTCTCACTTAGTTTCCTTATACCATCAGCTTGCATTTTATTTTGAAGTCTGACTGCTGCATGTTTCATTACGTTAAACAGTTTCCCAATAGATGAACGGCGATTTTTAGCTCTTTTATTAACTCGTGGTGTCGGATATTTTTCCTTGATTTGCATCCTCTTGTCGATTGTGTTGTCATCAAACATCTTCCAAGAGACGAGTGATACTTGTGTTGCCATAGCTGCAGTAGTTGTCTTAGAGATATTGATAGTTGTTTTGTAAATAGACTGTTGACTGATGAGAGCTATCAGAAACTGATACTGATTTTGGACAGGACACAGCCTTTTATTTGAAACAGTTGATATGTTTGTTTAGAAATGCCATTTGCACCTGATTCTCATTGTTTAAAACTTTGTCATGTTTAAGCTGCAAGGAAACAATTTTGACACCTGGTTGTTTATTGCCATGGGAACAATTTTGACACCTGTTTGTTTATTGCCATGGAAACAATCTTGACACCTGTTTGTTTATTGCCATTGAAGTTAATGACATAATCTTCATGTTTAAAACTGGTTAACCGATTTTACTGATCTGGCAATCATAGGATTTTGTATAACTCCCAATACTGAACTTGTTTTAAGAAATTAAGAAATGTGTTGGAATTCTAACATTAACTGTTATTATGCTTTTAATTTTTTGAAATTCAAAGTTGAATTATAGAAATTATACATCAGGCATTAGACACTTTTTAATTGAATAAATAATTAAAGGATTGAAGTTATAAATTTCAAGGCTCCTCAGTCAATCTTTATAGAGATAAACAATTTTGATATTTCATTTTAACATGTGTCTCGCAGACACATTGTTTATAAACAATATGTTTTTAAATACTGTGCCATTAAAGATTATTGAGTAATCCCAAGAGAAACTGTTTGTTGCCACCTGTCTGCCTGTTATAAACAATGTCACCCGTATAGTACCTTCAATGACAGGTGGAAAACATTTCAAACATCATCACCTGAAAAAAAAACAATTGCATTTTGTTTGGAACTTTCTAGTTTACAGTGATGTTGATCTGCACAAAAATTGTAAAATACTTAAATGGCTTTATTAGACAAAGCCCATGATCAAACCAAAGAAATTCCACTTGTACAGTACTTAATAATTTTCTCAGTTTTGGTACAATTCAATATTATTGATTAAAAAAGTTATCAAAAATATAGTTTTAATAATCTTTTCAATTTTATTACATGTTTGAATGAAAGTGTCCAGTAATGACTTAAATAATGACAAAAACATTCAAACCTTTGAAACACACATAGTTTGAACAATGGATACAGAACTATATATGGAAATGTGAGTTTTTTAAATCTTTTTCAGATTAATCTATTTAAGACTTATTTAATAAGTCATTAACTCAAATACCAGTTGGCGGATCTGGTTCAGATGTTATATCCTTATGCCAAGAGACATAGGAGTTCTTCCAAAGAAATAATTTTCAAGCTTAGTGTAAAGTGTAAAGTCACACAATTTTTGCTCCAGACAAATTTACAAAAATCTCAAGAAGGACGCAAAGTCTGATCACATACTTTTGCAGAGACATTCATGAACATATGGAGAACGCATAGAGAAACTTTTAAAGAACAAACTTTAGTACCAAAAGAGTTTTTAGCACAAACTTTTCTGGATATTTTGAGAAAGTTCAGAACTAATAGTACAGGCTGATAAACACTTGGATTAATTGGCTTCAGTCAGTAGGCTAAGCTCATAAGGACAACCTTGCAGTAGACCAGTAATTGGCTTGATATGGCTACTAATATTGCTTCAGAGTCTGATTCTCCAACTGTAAGCCAACTATTGGGCTCACAATCACCAACACAATCAGAACATGGTGACATTTCAATGACCTCTGGCCTCACTACATCAGTCAATCTGATCCAAGAAACACAACTGGAATCTGAAGATGAGAGGGAGGGGGAAACTAGCAGTGTTGATGCTAGTGCCATACGAACTCTGAGACCACGTGCTATTATATCTAAGACCCCAAAAACCAAAGGGAGACCAAAGAAGTCACTTACAACAAAGAATGATGTAACAGCAGTCCTTAAAGCACTATCCACCATGCAGTCTAGTATAGATACAACAAATAAGCTGATGCAGGGCCTACAAACGACTAATGCGGACTTGGTCAGTCAGCTAGCTATGAAAACAGCACAATGTTGCGAACTAGACAAAGAATGCCGAGAGTTACGCTCACAGCTGTCAAAAACTCATAGCACTGAGTCTGGATTACCAAAGACACTGGTTATCGGAAGCTCAATTATTCGAGACTTTGATACAAATAAACTGCATAACACAGAAGTTGAATGCATTCGAGGTGGAACAGTGGACGATGTACATAAATCACTGACGGACAATAATGCTTCATATGACAGGGTCATTCTCCAAGTAGGTAGCAACGACTGCAGCAAAGATAACACCCCAGAAGATATCGCTAAACAATACCAGCTGCTTATCAAAGGAGCCAAAAACATTGCTAATGAAGTAGTTGTGTCTAGTATATGCCCTCGCACAGATAAACCAGCAGCCCAAGAAAAGGTTGACACTGTCAATGCCACACTACAAGGCATCTGCTCTGATGAAGATGCAAGTGTCACTTTCATAAACAATGACCTCTCGTTTAAGCTCCAAGACAATTCCATTAATGATGGGTTTTTACATGGTGATGGCCTCCACTTATCGAAACCAGGAACAAACCGATTGGCTATCAATATGAAGCTCAAAACGAAAGGCAAGGATATTACCAAACCGTACTATAACCGTAACAAGAATGCCTTCAACAAACAGAATCAACAGAACAAAGATAATAATAACAATAATGATGACCCCAATCATGGAACCAATGACTGGACAACAGTGAACAAGAAACATAGAAATAACGCTCGCCAATCTCTCAATAATCAAACAGATGCGTCAACTCACGAACAATCTAAACCTCAACAAGGACACTCCTTAAGATGCATCAAATGTGGGGAGGCCAGCCACCTCACTAGCTCATGTTGGCACCCTGCCACCGTACGTTGCCGTGGGTGCAATCAGCTTGGACACAAAGTCTCAAGATGTCCTGCAAACAGGATGGTAGACCAAGGGCACCAAGATTTCAACCGTTTCTAGATTCTTGGTGAAGTTATCGCCCCATCCCCACAATGCAAAGATAATGTCCCTAGATCACACACAAAGCCTCGTAAATTACATAAACGTTCACGAAGGGGTGCACACAAACGCAAGAACAATGCCAATTTTCCTTTAAGTATCGCATTCAACAATGTAGAATACTTAGGATTAGCAAAACAACACGAACTTGATAATCTTCTGTCAATGAAACAGTTTGACATTGTAGGAGTGTGTGAAACATTTTTCAAAGACTCGAATACCCCTACTGTCAGTAATAAGGAATATGAATGGTTTGGTAAGAACAGAGTCAATAGATCTGGTGGTGGTGTTGGTTTTTTCATAAAAAGAGATAAAGTTACTATTTTAAAAGAAAACCACTTAGATTCACTTAATGATGAATTTGAAAGATATTGGTTAAAGGTAAAGATAGTCAATGCAATTCTTAATGTTGGAGTTGCATACTTTCCAAATGATGGGAAGAATCCTGCTCTTACAGAAGCCCTTACTGAGGAACTAATCAAAGACATTTCTCAATTTGATAATAGCAACGAATGTACCCTCCTTATGGGTGACTTTAATGGACGCATAAAAGAATTCAATAGTGGTCAAAGCAGTCACAATGGTAAATTCATAGAAGTCCTCAGTGAGGCAACCAATTGTACTATACTTAATTTAACTGAAGAATGTGAAGGTGAGGTAACATGGGCCCGCAACAACCAGTCATCCACACTTGATTATATTTTGGTCAATGACAGATTTATGAGTATTTATGATAAAATGGTTATTCATGAAAATCACGATGTGTCTATTGGCAGCAGCCACGCTTTTCTTGTTGTTGAAGGCTCTTGTTGCGGGTCAGATTCTAAATCCAAATCTAAAAATAAAATGTCAAATGAAGTAATTAAAACACCAAGTTGGAAAATCTCAGAAAATACAGACTGGACAAAGTTCCAGCAACTTATAACAAAACAATTTAATTCCTGGGATATTTCATTATACTCTAATATTGAGGAAGCATGGGCAGTTTGGAAGGGTAAAGTCAAAGAGGCAGCCTATGAGTCCGTGGGAACTAAGGTAATCTCCCCCAACTATGTATCATTCTGGAATGAAGAAATCAAACAATTAATCAAAAATAGAAGGGAAGCATGTCGTTTCTTTAGGTATTGGAAACGCGCCAAAACATGCGACCCCAATGTGCTGCAAGAAATGTGGGATTTATATATTCAAAGAAAAGAGCAAGTTCGTGATAAGATTAAACAAGTACACATTCAAAACCATATTAAGACTATCACAAAGAATGCCTCAAAGAAATCTAATTCAAAATCTTTTTGGAAAACATTAAAAATGTTTAATGCAAAAGCAGGACACCCAATACAAATAAAAGACCCAGATGACCCAAAATGTATAATAACTGACCCTCGGAAAGTATCTCAGTCAATTGCTAAATACTGGAAAAATGTTGGTCCCAACAATGTAAATGATCGTTCAGTAAAAACAGACTTGTCTCAGCAACTTAGAGAGCTTCATATGTCATCTACATTTTCAGACAATGCTTTATTTGATGTTACATTTGATGAAGGTGAAGTTTCTGAATGTATCAAAGGGTTAAGTAATGGTAAAGCATGTGGAACAGATCAAATTCCAAATGAATTTCTGAAGCAAGGGGGGCCTATTATAATTAAATCAATATCTGAAATATTTTATCAAGTGAAGATCAGAGAACAAATGCCCAAAGAATGGAAAGAAGGTCTTTTATTTCCCATTCACAAGAATTCAGATAAGGAAATACTTGACAACTATAGAGGCATAACAATAAACTCTAACATTTACAAGCTTTTCACCTCTATTATGGAATCTAAGATCTTGAAGTTTTTCGAAGTTAATAACGTTTTGGGTGACTTGCAAGGCGCCTTTAGATCAGGTTTGAGATTAGAAAATCATATTTTTGCCCTCAAAGGTATCTGTAGCATGAGGAAAAACAACAACCTTAAGACCTATTTATCTTTTTTGGACATCTCTAAAGCCTTTGACGTGGTCAACAGGGACCTTTTATTTTTACGATTATGGGAAAAGGGGATTCAAGGCAAAGTCTGGCGCATTTTGAGGGAATTATATGTGGGAGTTAAAAGCAAAGTGATTTTTGGAACAATTTCAACAGAGTGGGAAGAGTGCAACCCTGTCTATAGCCTAAAACAGGGTTGCTGCCTCTCCCCGACTCTGTTTTCCCTTGTTATGAGTGACCTTGTTGAAATGTTCAACAATGAAGATATAGGGTTACCTTTTGAAAATGAAAAGGTCCCAGTTCTTATGTTCGCCGATGATGTTGCTTTACTTGCCGAAAATGAATCTACAATGAACAGAATGTTAAAAATTGCTGACATCTTTTCTATTAAATGGGGGTTCAATTTTAGCCCTAAAAAATCAAAGGTTATGGTCATTGGGAAAAGAATTGACAAAAATAAAAAATGGATCTTAGGCAGCCATGAATTATTTGAGGTTAAAAGTTATAAGTATCTAGGGATATATTTTGATCGGTCTCTAAAAGACTCTGGCCACATTGACTTCCTTGCTGAAAAATCTAAACGAATTCAAGGTATGATAGTCTCCACTTTGACAAAACACTGTAATGTCATGCGTCTCAAATTTGGGGAGAAAATGTACAACTCAATGTTTGTCCCTGCCATTCTTCATGGCTGTCCTATATTCACGTTAAACAAAACTAACACGGATAAAATGAAATCAATGCAATATAATATTGGGAGATCAATTCTCCAAATTAGGTGTTGCCCAGCCAGAGAAGCACTTTTAGGTGATTTAGGCTGGAGACCTCTTGTTGATGTCATTGAAAAAAGGCAAATAGATTACTTTATATATCTAAAATGTAATATCAAAGAAGGGTCATTACACAAAAAGATATTTAATTCTATGTATGATGGCTTCTGTGCTAATGATGAAAGCAAAGCATTCCCTTACTTTTCAAACATAAAATCCATCCTAACAAAATATGGACTGGATGATGTTATCTACAGAGATGATATTGACTGGTATCAGGCTCTTATCAAAATATCAGATCAAGAAAGGCTTAATAATTTTAAATCTGCATTGAATGAAAAGTCTTCACTCTCACTGTATCGATGTCTAAACCCCCATCCCTTCTTAAAAAACTACCTGACCACAGATTTTGACTTCTATGGGCAAAAATTAAAGTTCAAAGCTAGATCAGGGTGTTTTGGCTTAAAAACAGAATACGAAAAATGGGGACAGGGAAATGGAATATGTACGTTATGTGATAAAAATGTAAAAGACACCATCCAACATAGACTTTTTGTTTGCCCTTTCTTTGGTAATGATAGAAATACTTTTTATAAAAATGTTATTGAAAAATGTAATCCAGCACTATCGTCGGGTCTTCTATCAGCCAGTGTGCAAATTAAAACATGTTGGGCCTTAGGTGAGGACATTTTTACATTGTGGGGACAAGAAGAAGCTTTTAAGTTCGATAAATGTGTAAAGGGTCTTTTAAAATGTGTATATAAACCTCAGACCCAATAACATGTTTTAGTTTCTTATATATAATGCCTGTAAACTGATATATGCTTTTAAATGTTTTGCCAATGTCTGGAAGAACCATTTGTGTTCCGCTGTAATAAAAGCGTTTCCAATAAATAAAAAAAAAAAAAAAAAAAAAAAAAAAAAAAAAAAAAAAAAAAAAAGCCACTGAATTTCAAAATGACCACCATTTTCCATAAAAATGTGTAATTTTTGACAGCTTAGATACCATTTTTGGACGAAATTATGCAATTTTATAGGCTAGGACCTCTGCTCAAGGAAGCATTTACAATATGGCTGCTCGCTCACATCTAAACTGCATTTTTCATAAAGAAATGTTTTATAACTCAAATACTAGTTGACAGATTTGGTTCATATTTTATATGCTAATGCTTTCGGGACATAGGGCTCTGCTCAAGAAGGAATTTTCTAGATGGCCGCTCAGAGTTCAAAATAGGAATTTTCAAAATTACTGGCAAACTCAATATGGCCACCTTATTAAATAGAATATACCTTTTTCAATAACTCAAATTACATGCGCCAGATTTGGTTCAGATTAAATGTGCCTATTAGTCTATATTGTGCCTATATCTTATTGGAATAGGATCAAGAAGAAATGCTGTTCAATTCAAAATGGCTGCCATTTATCAGGAAACTTATGATTTCTTCTGATAACACAAATACCAGTCCCCAGTTTTGATCCAAATTTTATACGTTAATGGTCATTAGACCTTTGCTTAAGAAAGAATTTAATACGATAAAACCTGTGTATTTAACTTTCTTTTGCAAAGAAAATATTCAGTCTTTGTAGGTGTTAACTACAGAGAGGGTAATTTATGCAGAAGTCAATAGCACTGGTGATCCACTCGATTACGCTGGAACCGTTTCGGTAACAAAATGTGGGAACGTCGGAGGTACAATTTTTCTTTTTTCCTTATTTCACACGTTGTAGGCAGAATTCCCACGACATTTTTATCACAAACGTGTATCAGTATCATATGTTTAAGAAAATGTACACATTTGCGAACAAATAGTTCAGAAGACAACAGAAAAAAATCGTACCTTTTCGGTAAGAAAATGTACACATTTGCGAACAAATAGTTCAGAAGACAACAGAAAAAAAATCGTACCTTTTCAGTAACCAGCGTGATCGAGCGGATCACCAGTGAATAGAGTATATTTCGAGAAAGTGTCTACTAGAGACAAATGTTCACTAGATAAGGTTTTCACTAGAGAGAGGTGTTTATAAGACAGATTTTACTGTATATGACATCATGTCACATCATGAGTAAATTTTGCCAAATGGAGAGAATATATAGATATATTGAACATTTTTTTACCAAGAAAAAACATTCATTGTTGGTAGGTGTTCACTTTAGAGAGGGTAATTTATATGTAGAAGTCAATAGGGTATGTGTGGAAGAAGGGGGTCTATTAGAGACAGGTGTTCACTATATAGACTTAGAGAGGGTAATTTACACAGAATTCAAAAGGGTATGTGTGGAGGAAGTGTGTCTACTAGAGACAGCATTCACTAGATAAGCTTTTCACAAGAGGGAGAGGTGTTTATAATACAGGTTTTACTGTATATGACATCATGTCATATCATGGGTGTATATTTTGCCAAAAGGAGAGAATACACTTCATAAATGTACTTCTTAGACATTTGTAGAAACAAAACAAGTTGTTTTATATAAAATAGTATAAGATTTTATTTATATTTAATGATTATTTACAATTTACAATGTAACATTTATTTACAATTTGGCAATTCATTAGCAGTTTTATCCAGTGTTTAAAATGCTGTATGTTTAACTCCATTCATAATCTTGGTTTTACCGAGACTTTGAGACTTTCCAGATTGTTGAGTGTTCATTCCACAGGAACAGTTTTCTTGAGTGTATTGGTTCAGAATACAGAAAACCTTTGATGTTTCAAACTCGCAAAAATCGATGTCTGTATTGTTCTCAAAATGAAGCTTCAAATCATCATCATCATACTGCAAATAAACAGCATGAAGCTTATTAGGGTGCGATTCCTCTCTGATGATGTCATCATAGTTCGTGGTTGGAGCCCCGATAGGTGCGATGTATCCATTTTCACCTGGTGCAATAAACTCATCTGCGAAATCGAGGAGATCATTCAGTGTTCCATTGCTGACCTTGTTCTTTTTCGCAGGGTGTGCACATTTGCCATTGTTTGTGATGTCATCATTGTCAGCATCTAAACTCTCCATTGATGATGAGATTCCACGTTGAACTATTTCCTCAATATTCTCACTTAGTTTCCTTATACCATCAGCTTGCATTTTATTTTGAAGTCTGACTGCTGCATGTTTCACTACGTTAAACAGTTTCCCAATAGATGAACGGCGATTTTTAGCTCTTTTATTAACTTGTGGTGTTGGATATTTTTCCTGGATTTGCATCCTCTTGTCAGTTGTGTTGTCATCAAACATCTCCCAGGATACTTGTTTTGCCATGATATCTGTTGTCGTTGCCTTGGAGATATTGATAGTTGTTTTGTAAATAGACTGTTGACTGATGAGAGGTATCAGAAACTGATACTGATTTTGGACAGGACACAGCCTTTTATTTGAAACAGTTGACATGTTTGTTAAGATATGCCATTTGCACCTGATTCTCATTGTTTAAAACTTTGTCTTGTTAAGCTGCAAGGAAACAATTTTGACACCTGTTTGTTTGTTGCCATAATCTTCATGTTTAAAACTGGTAAAGTGATTTTAACTGATTTGATTAGAATTTGAACATTAACTGGTATTAAACTTTAATTTTTTCAAATTAAAAATTGAATTGTAGAAACTATATATCAGGCATCAGACACTTTTAACTAAAGAACTAATAAGAGGATGGAAGTTTCAAATTTCAAGGCTCAATCAGTTCAATTCTTCCATATAATTTAATATAAATAAACAATTTTAACATTTCAGAATATGTTTCACAGATACAATGTTTATAAACAATCTGTTTTTAATCACTGTGTCATTAAAAATTATTGAGTAATCCCAAGAGAAAATGTTTGTTGGCAACTGTCTACCTGTTATTGTTTGTAAACAATGTCGCCTGTGCAATACCTTCAATAACAGGTGAAAAACATTTCAAACAAAATTTGTAGGGATACAGAGAAGTCATCCATCAGTAATATCAAAAGAATATTTAATAATGAAGATGAAATGAACAGCATTTAAAAGAGATGTCTGTCTGTCTTTTCCTTTGTCTTGGTGACAACTAGAATACAAGTAGAAGGATTTGGTTCAAATTTTATGGCCTTATGGGCAAAGAATCTCTGCTTGAGGAGGTATTTTTAATATGGCTTCTAAATTCAAAATGGCCACCATTTTTGTAGAACTGTAATCTTTGATAATAAGTCATTAACTCAAATACCAGTTGATGGATTTGGCTCAGATGTTATATAATTATGCCCAGAGACAGGAGTTCTGCCAAAGAAATAATTTTCAAGCTAGCCACTGAATTTCAAAATGACCACAATTTCCCCAAAAATGTGCAATTTTTGACAGCTTAGATACCATTTTTGGACGAAATTATGCAATTGAGTAAAAATGATATAGGCTAGGACCTATGCTCAAGGAATCATTTACAAAATGGCGGCTCGCTCACATCTAAACTGCATTTTTCATAAAGAAATGTTTTATATTTATTTATTTATTCAGAACTACGCTTTTGTATCAGCGGCACACTTTCACAGGTGTGTCTTTACAATAAAACATAATACTGTATATCTAAAAATGAGTCTTAAGAATCTTTATGATTCACTGGTACTCACCTAACGAAACGTCAGCCTAACAAGATGAAAGAACTTCGGGCTTCGTTTTCGGTAAGATATTTTTATTTCTCGATTCTACACCACTTATAAGACAAGTTGTAGACAATAATTTGGCTCAAAGTTAAGGAAGATAGTCTAGTTTGAGAATATGCAGCCGGTTCTATGTTTTGTATATTAAATAATATATAAGCACTAGTGCCAAAGGGAAAGGACCAAAAGTTGTAATGGAACTTAGCAAGAAAAAGCAAACTCTAAGTGCATACCAGTCAAGAAAAACAAACCCCATATAGCTCAAAACCATGATCTAACGTGAAAAGAAACAATATCTAATACCCCCTTTCCCCCTACCATTCAAGAATCAATATCACAATCCAAGACCAGAAGACCAAGGGACATTTCATTCATACTGAAGTCATTACAATACATGTTGAAGAAAAAATTATAAATTTATAGCCAATTGATAGCCAATACTCATAACCTCAAAAATTGTTGTTGATATAAGTACTCATACAAGATAGAGCATTCAGTCTCAAATGATGTTGGATAGATAAAATCCAGTCTCCAAGTCGATAGGCATTTCAAAGGGTCAACATCCATTCACAAAAGCCGTCGCCATAATCCTTAAAACACAATAATTCACAATGGTCATCAGGAGAAAGCTATGGCTGGTTTCGATCCCTATTTCTCAACCATTAATGCCATAGCCGGGATCCACCTCAAAAGGTGCAACTCAAAGAAGACGCAATTTACATAATTAGTCTTTCACTTTTGTTACTTTGACGATATTCATGAATATTGCCAAAGTGACAATTTTAGAGTGGTTATTCTGATGAGTACATGTATTGTATCTATGTATTAAATGGTTAAAAGAAATACACTTAATTTGTAGAACATTTAAATAATATAATAATAAAAAATATTTCATTCTATTTTCGGTGAATACATGTTCTTCTTTCCCTCAGGTATATTTCCCTTGCCCTTTAGGCTGCGGGAAATATACTGAGGGAAAGATGAACATGTATTCACCTCAATAGAATGGAATATTTGGTATATATTGAACATTTTTTTACCAAGAAAAAACATTCAGTGTTTGTAGGTGTTCACTTTAGAGAGGGTAATTTATACAGAAGTCAATGGTTATATATATTTTACAAGTGGATCCAAGAGACCAAGTGGGCAAGTCCATTATTTTGCAGGGGTGGCAGGATATACACATATCAATTTCCACATACTCACATTTCCTTATTAAAAAAAACCTTCTAAAAGTTTAGTAGTCAATGAATATCAGATCTGTAAATTCCCAAATCAGAAGCGAATTCAATAAAAACCAGATTAGAATGCACAAATACCGGATCACAGACTTTTTCAATGAGGGACCTGTTAAATGTTACAACAATAGTCCATTTTCTCCACTTGGTCACTCTTAGATTGAGCCAAGTATTGGATGATTGGAGGCAGTTTTGATCAATTTTGCAAAGGGTTAATTTTATTCTCATCTGTCTCAACAAAACAGGAATATCCCAGAATTCATACAGTCATACTTCTCTTATGTAAACTAGAAAAACAGCAACTCCACGGAGTAGCAAATCCCAATGAACAAAACATGTTTTGGTAAATAGGGGCCATATAAAATCCACTGGTATTTGAATTATCAAAGATTGTATTTTTATCAGCATATAGAATTTGAACCAAATCCATCAACTGGTATTTGAGTTATCAAAGGTTACATTCTTTTATGAAAATGGCGGCCATTTTGAAATTTAGCTGCCATCTTACAAATCCCTTCTCGAACAGAGCTCCTATGTTCCAAGGCATCAGCATGTAAAACAGACGGACGAACGGATGGACGGACGAACGGGCGGACGGCTTTTCTATATCCCCCTCGAACTTCATTGATCATTGATTGGCCAAGGGTTCATCTATAATCCTGGGAAATGACCTCTTCTGGACGTAAAGCGGGGGAACATCTGATATGACCAGTTCCCATGGCAGTGTGTCACCTGTCATTTCTCTGGAATGATGTACACTTTCCTCCAAAAGATTGGAAACAATTGTAGTAAAGTAAAACCTGTATATCTGAACACTTGGCTAATACGAACACCTCCCAATTTGAACATTTTTTGGTCCCGTTTTTCCTCCCATTGACTCAAATGTTAAAAAACCTTGAAATGTGAACACCGACCAATTTGAACAGTGAACAGTCATAGTTTGAAAAATGAACCTATCTAATCTGACCACTTTTCATAAAATATCACATGTTCCATACAAAATTGCTCAAATATTTGAAAAAACCTTGAATGATCTCACTCATGGTGGGGCTTCGGGGATGGATAAATTCATTTGAATAGAATTTTCATGTCACTGTAATGCCATAAAGCTATGTAGTCAAAGGAACTATAAATATTTATTGAGAATTTGTTCCTATTTCTTCAAAATCCCAAATCTTGCAAATGCAAAACCTCAAAATGAGAGCACCTCCTAATCCAAACGCTTGTCCAATCCCCTCTAAAAGTTACTGAAATCACTGGCTGGGTGTTCGGTTACACACAGGTGTTCAATTTAAAGTAGACTCATATGTTCGCTGGGCACAGATCTTCACTAAAGAGATGTTCATTATGACAGTTTTACTGTGCTGAAATCACTGGCTGGGAATTAATGTTCACTATACACAGGTGTTCAATAGAGTAGATGCATGTGTTCACTGGGCACTAATTTTCACTAAAGAGGTGTTCATTATGATATTTTTACTGTACTGAAATCACTGGCTGGGAATCGGTGTTCACTATATACAGGTGTTCAATAGAGTAGAGTCATGTGTACACTGAGCACAGATCTTCACTAAAGAGGTGTTCATTATGACAGTTTTACTGTACTGAAATCAATTGCTGGGAATTCACTATATACAAAATTGAAATGTGTGTATCATGCCACCCCTGCAAAATAATTGACTCGCCCACTTAGTCTCTTGGATCCACTTGCAAAATATATATAACCGAAGTCAATAGGGTATGTATGGAGGAAGGGTGTCTACTAGAGACAGGAGTTCACTATAGAGACTTAGAGAGGGTAATTAACACAGAATTCGAAAGGGTATGTGTGGAGGAAGTGTGTCTACTAGAGACAGCGTTCATTAGATAAGGTTTTCACTAGAGAGAGGTTTTGACTAAGACAGGTTTTACTGTATATAAGGGTTATGTACTGGGAGGTTTTGGATATTGGGTTTATCCAGAGGGAGATATGCATATCTACCTTAGGGACCGTAGGGATCAAAGGTAGATGTGTATATCTCACGAGGGATGAACCCAATATCCAAACTGACCGTACATAACTGCTTTATCCTATACCAAGTAGAGTTTTCATGGGCACATTGCCATTTCAATAGTACAAGGTGTAAAAATAAATAAATCATTCATATGCAAAGTCATTTTATTGCATTTCCACTACTTACCGGAAGCAGGAAGATATGCACCGAAATGGGAATAAATGCACCGAAGCGGGAGATATGGAGGTTCTGGATATGGAAACCTCAAAATCAGGATACGGGACATATCTTACCAACTTATCTCCCTAAAACTCTACTTGGCATAGGATTCATATCAATCATGGGTGTATATTTTGCGAAAAGGAGAGAATACGCTTCATAGATGTACTTCTTAGACATTTGTAGAAACAAAACAAGTTGTTTTATATAAAATAGAATAAGATTTTATTTATATTTAATGATTATTTACAATTTACAGTGTAACATTTATTTACAATTTGGCAATTCATTAGCAGTTTTATCCAGTGTTTAAAATGCTGTATGTTTAACTCCATTCATAATCTTGGTTTTACCGAGACTTTGAGACTTTCCAGATTGTTGAGTGTTCATTCCACAGGAACAGTTTTCTTGAGTGTATTGGTTCAGAATACAGAAAACCTTTGATGTTTCAAACTCGCAAAAATCAATGTCTGCATTGTTCTCAAAATGAAGCTTCAAATCATCATCATCATACTGCGAAGAAACAGCATGAAGGTTATTTGGGTGAGATTCCTCTCTGATGATGTCATCATATGCACAATTCGTGTTTGAAGCCTCGATGTATCCAGTTTCACCTGATGCAACAAACTCATCTGCTAAGTCGAGGAGATCATTCGGTGTTCCATTGCTGACCTTGTTCTTTTTCGCAGGGTGTGCACATTTGCCATTGTTCGTGATGTCATCATTGTCAGCATCTAAACTCTCCATTGATGATGAGATTCCACGTTGAACTATTTCCTCAATATTCTCACTTAGTTTCCTTATACCATCAGCTTGCATTTTATTTTGAAGTCTGACTGCTGCATGTTTCATTACGTTAAACAGTTTCCCAATAGATGAACGGCGATTTTTAGCTCTTTTATTAACTCGTGGTGTTGGATATTTTTCCTTGATTTGCATCCTTGTGTCGATTGTGTTGTCATCAAACATCTTCCAAGAGACGAGTGATACTTGTGTTGCCATAGCTGTAGTAGTTGTCTTACAGATATTGATAGTTGTTTTATAAATGATTGTTGACTGATGAGAGCTATCAGAAACTGATACTGATTTTGGACAGGACACAGCCTTTTATTTGAAAAAAGTTGACATGTTTGTTTAGAAATGTCATTTGCACCTGATTCTCATTGTTTAAAACTATGTCATGTTTAAGCTGCATGGGAACAATCTTGACATCTGTTTGTTTAAGCTGCATGGGAACAATCTTGACACCTGTTTGTTTATTGCCATTGAAGTTTATGACATAATCTTCATGTTTAAAACTGGTTAACTGATTTTACTGATCTTGCAATCATAGGATTTTGTATATATAACTCTCTAGTGCTGAACTTGTTTTAAGAAATGTGTTGGAATTCTAACATTAACTGTTATTATGCTTTTAATTTTTTGAAATTAAAAGTTGAATTATAGAAATTATATATCAGGCATTAGACACTTTTATTTAAATAACTATTATTATTAAAGGATTGAAGTTATAAATTTCAAGGCTCCGCAGTCATCTAATCTTTCTATAGATAAACAATTTTAATATTTCATTTTAACATGTGTCTCGCAGACATATTGTTTATAAACAATATGTTTTTAAATACTGTGCCATTAAAGATTATTGAGTAATCCCAAGAGGAACTGTTTGTTGCCACCTGTCTGCCTGTTATTGTTTGTAAACAATGTCACCTGTACAGTACCTTCAATGACAGGTGGAAAACATTTCAACCATCATCACCTGAAAAAAAACAATTGCATTTTTGTGTGGAACTTTCTAGTTTATAGTGATGGTGTCTAATAAAGCCATTTAAGTATTTTACAATTTTTGTGCAGATCAAACCAAAGAAATTCCACTTGTACAGTACTTAATAATTATCCCACCGAACGAAGTTCGAGGGGGATATAGAAAAGCCGTCCGTCCATCCGTTCGTCCGTCCGTTCGTGTGTCCGGGCAATAACTCAAATACCGGTTGACAGATTTCATTCAAATTTTATAGGCTTATGCCTTATGGGTGTAGGACCTCTGCTCGAGAAGCAAATTTCAATATGGCCGCTTAATTCAAAATGGCGGCCATTTTTCGGAAAAAATATAATCTTAATAACTCAAATACTAGTAGATGGATTTGGTTCAAATTTTATATGCTGTTGCCTTGGTACAAAGGAGCCTTGCTCAAGAAGACATTTTCAAGATGGCCACCAAATTTCAAAATGGCGGCCATTTTTTGTAAAAAAACGTTATCTTTGATAACTCAAAGACCATTGAATGGATTTGGTTCAAATTTTAGATGCTGATGCCTAGGGACATAGGAGCTCTGCTCGAGAAAGGATTTTCAAAATGGCACCAAATTTCAAAATGGCGGCCATTTTTTGTAAAAAAACGTTATCTTTGATAACCCAAATACCATTGAATGGATTTGGTTTAAATTTTAGATGCTGATGCCTAGGGACATAGGAGCTCTGCTCAAGAAGGGATTTTCAAGGTGGTAGCTAAATTTCAAAATGGCCGCCATTTTTCATAAAAGAACGTAACCTTTGATAACTCAAATACCAGTTGACGGATTTGGTTCAAATTCTATATGCTGATGCCTAGAGACAAAGAAGTTCTGCTCAAAAATAAATTTTCAAGATGGCCACTGAATTTCAAAATGGCCGCCATTTTCGTAAAAAAACGTAATTAATGATAACTCAAATACTAGTGGATGGATTTGGTTCCAATTTTGTATGCTGATGTTTAGGGAAAAAGGAGATCTGCTTCAGAAGAAATTTCAAAGGTGATAGCTGAATTTCAAAATGGCTGCCATTTTTCATTAAAATAGTAATCTTTGATAACCCAGATACCATTGGACGGACATTCTCTGCTAAAGAAGAAATCTAAAGATGATAGCTGAATTTCAAAATGGCAACCATGTTTCATAAAGACATAATCTTTGATAATTCAAATACCAGTGGATGAATTTGGCTCAATTTTTTTTATCAAAACATGTTTTGTTCGGTGGGATTTGCTACTCCGTGGAGTTGCTGTTTTTCTAGTTTTCTAGTTTTCTCAGTTTTAGTACAATTCAATATTATTGATTAAATAAGTTATCAAAAAATATAGTTTTAATAATCTTTTCAATTTTATAACATGTTTGAATGAAAGTGTCTAGTAATGACTTAAATAATGACAAAAACATTCAAACCTTTGAAACACACATAGTTTGAACAATGGATACAGAACTATATATGGAAATGTGAGTTTTTTAATCTTTTTCAGATTGATCTATTTAAGACTTATTTAATAAGTCATTAACTCAAATACCAGTTGGCAGATCTGGTTCAGATGTTATATCCTTATGCCAAGAGACATAGGAGTTCTTCCAAAGAAATAATTTTCAAGCTAGCCACTGAATTTCAAAATGACCACCATTTTCCATAAAAATGTGTAATTTTTGACAACTTAGATACCATTTTTGGACAAAATTATGCAATTTTATAGGCTAGGACCTCTGCTCAAGGAAGCATTTACAATATGGCTGCTCGCTTACATCTAAACTGCATTTTTCATAAAGAAATGTTTTATAACTCAAATACTAGTTGACTGATTTGGTTCATATTTTATATGCTAATGCTTTCGGGACATAGGGCTCTGCTCAAGAAGGAATTTTCTAGATGGCCGCTCAGAGTTCAAAATAGGAATTTCCAAAATTACTCGCAAATTCAAAATGGCCACCTTATTAAATAGAATATACCTTTTTCAATAACTCAAATTACATGCGCCAGATTTGGTTCATATTAAATGTGCCTATTAGTCTATATTGTGCCAATATCTTATTGGAATAGGATCAAGAAGAAATGCTGTTCAATTCAAAATGGCTGCCATTGATCAGGAAACTTATGATTTCTTCTGATAACACAAATACCAGTCCCCAGTTTTGATCCAAATTTTATACGTTAATGGTCATTAGACCTTTGCTTAAGAAAGAATTTAATACAATAAAACCTGTGTATTTAACTTTCTTTTCCAAGGAAAATATTCAGTCTTTGTAGGTGTTAACTGCACAGAGAGGGTAATTTATACAGAAGTCAATAGCACTGGTGATCCACTCGATTACGCTGGAACCGTTTCGGTAACAAAATGTGGGAACGTCGGAGGTACAATTTTTCTTTTTTCCTTAATTCACACGTTGTAGGCAGAATTCCCACGACATTTTTAACACAAACGTGTATCAGTATCATATGTTTAAGAAAATGTACACATTTGCGAACAAATAGTTCAGAAGACAACGGAAAAAAAATCGTACCTTTTTCGTAACCAGCGTGATCGAGCGGATCACCATTGAATACAGTATATTTTCGAGAAAGGTGTCTACTAGAGACAAATGTTCACTAGATAAGGTTTTCACTAGAGAGAGGTGTTTATAAGACAGATTTTACTGTATATGACATCATGTCACATCATGAGTAGATTTTGCCAAATGGAGAGAATATAGAGATCATGTCATATAGATATATTGAACATTTTTTTTACCAAGAAAAAACGTTCAGTGTTGGTAGGTGTTCACTTTAGAGAGGGTAATTTATATGTAGAAGTCAATAGGGTATGTGTGGAAGAAGGGGGTCTATTAGAGACAGGTGTTCACAATAGAGACTTAGAGAGGGTAATTACAGAATTCAAAAGGGTATGTGTGGAGGAAGTGTGTCTACTAGAGACAGCATTCACTAGATAAGCTTTTCACAAGAGGGAGAGGTGTTTATAAGACAGGTTTTACTGTATATGACATCACGTCATATCATGGGTGTATATTTTGCCAAAAGGAGAGAATACACTTCATAAATGTACTTCTTAGACATTTGTAGAAACAAAACAAGTTGTTTTATATAAAATAGTATAAGATTTTATTTATATTTAATGATTATTTACAATTTACAGTGTAACATTTATTTACAATTTGGCAATTCATTAGCAGTTTTATCCAGTGTTTAAAATGCTGTATGTTTAACTCCATTCATAATCTTGGTTTTACCGAGACTTTGAGACTTTCCAGATTGTTGAGTGTTCATTCCATAGGAACAGTTTTCTTGAGTGTATTGGTTCAGAATACAGAAAACCTTTGATGTTTCAAACTCGCAAAAATCGATGTCTGTATTGTTCTCAAAATGAAGCTTCAAATCATCATCATCATAGTGCGAATAAACAGCATGAAGCTTATTAGGGTGAGATTCCTCTCTGATGATGTCATCATATGCACAGTTCGTGTATGAAGCCTCGATGTATCCAGTTTCACCTGATACAACAAACTCATCTGCGAAGTCGAGGAGATCATTCGGTGTTCCATTGCTGACCTTGTTCTTTTTTGCAGGGTGTGCACATTTGCCATTGTTTGTGATGTCATCATTGTCAGCATCTAAACTCTCCATTGATGATGAGATTCCACGTTGAACTATTTCTTCAATATTCTCACTTAGTTTCCTTATACCATCAGCTTGCATTTTATTTTGAAGTCTGACTGCTGCATGTTTCATTACGTTAAACAGTTTCCCAATAGATGAACGGCGATTTTTAGCTCTTTTATTAACTCGTGGTGTTGGATATTTTTCCTTGATTTGCATCCTTGTGTCGATTGTGTTGTCATCAAACTTCTTCCAAGAGACGAGTGATACTTGTGTTGCCATAGCTGTAGTAGTTGTCTTAGAGATATTGATAGTTGTTTTGTAAATAGACTGTTGACTCATGAGAGCTATCAGAAACTGATACTGATTTTGGACAGGACACAGCCTTTTATTTGAAACAGTTGACATGTTTGTTAAGATATGCCATTTGCACCTGATCCTCATTGTTTAAAACTTTGTCATGTTTAAGCTGCAAGGAAACAATTTTGACACCTGTTTGTTTATTGCCATGGGAACAATCTTGACACCTGTTTGTTTATTGCCATTGAAGTTAATGACATAATTTCCATGTTTAAAACTGGTTAACCGATTTTTATTGATCTGGCAATGATAGAATTTTGTATAACTCAATACTGAACTTGTTTTAAGAAATTAAGAAATGTGTTGGAATTCTTACATTTACTGTTATTACAGTATTATGCTTTTAATTTTTTGCTTTTAAAAGTTGAATTATAGAAATTATATATCAGGCATTAGACACTTTTAATTAAATAACTAATTAAAGGATTGAAGTTATAAATTTCAAGGCTCAGTCAGTTCAATACTTCCATCTAATCTTATATAAATAAACAATTTTAACATTTCATTTTGACATATGTCTCTCAGACACATTTTTATAAACAATATGTTTTTAATTACTGTGCCATTAAAGATTATTGAGTAATCCCAAGAGGAACTGTTTGTTGCCACCTGTCTGCCTGTTATTGTTTGTAAACAATGTCACCTGTACAGTACCTTCAATGACAGGTGGAAAACATTTCAAACATCATGACCTGAAAAAACATTGGTATTTTTGTGTGAAACTCTAGTTTACAGTGATTGGTGTCATAAAGCTGTTTAAGTATTTTTCAATTTTTGTGCAGATCAAACTTAAGTACAGTACATGTACTTAATAATTTTCTCAGTTATGGTTCAATTCAGTATTATTAATCAAAAAAGTTATAGAAAAATATAATGTAAATAATCTTTTCAATTTTGTAACATGTTTGTATGAAAGTGCCCAGTAATGACTTAAATAATGACAAAAACAGCCTTCAAACCTTTGAAATACACATAGTTTGAACAATTGATACATTACTATATATGGAAATGTGAGTTTTTTAATTGTTGTAAGATTGATCTATTTAAGAAATAGAGGTTCTTGTATGAGTAACTGTGCAAGATCGTCCATTCTTGATGAGCTTTGATAATTCTTCTTTATCGAGTCGCAGACTGTTGCTATGTTGTTAATGTTTTTAGACCAGTGATGTCACAAGTAAATCTCATCTTGCATGTTAATGAAAGATGGCAATATCTTGCATGGGATAAAGATGGCCGTATCTTGGTTAGTCGTATGAGAAATGACTCTTCATTTCAGATGTAATACATATGTGAGATCTGGATGTGCCTATTAGCTTAACATGTGGAATGATGTGGATGTTGATTTTGGGGGAGATGAAACAGGGAATTTTGGTCCGAGGAAAGAGACAGGAAGTGCCTTGTATCAGATTGATACCATAGCAACAATTTCTTCTCAAGAAGAGGTAAGTGTCATTTTTTTCAATTCACCATTTTCGTGAGTGGGATTGGGAGGTGAATACGATTTTCATGAGGGATTGGGCTGGACAATACAATGTTTTTTTTCAATATCAAAAATATTCCCGGATGTTATTCGCCGGGAACTGGTAGTATCATGAGATAAAACCATATCTTCATTGAGAATATTAGAGAAAGAGCTTAAATAAAGAAAAATGAAAGCATTTGGTTAGGAACTTTCTGATAAGGCTTCAAATGTGTACTTGTGTTGAATATATCCCTACAAGCTAAAAAGGAATTTGTAATGTTATCAATTGAATATTGTAGTCATGGCAATATTGAATGAGAAAACATTAAAATATATACACTCAGAAATTTCATCATAATACATGTATTTCAATTTTGTTGATCGACAGGTAGAGCACAATCCTAGAGTGTTTGCCACTGCAAGAGAAGATGGACTCTGTGTATCAGCGGGGAATAATCTATCTATATTTGGGCAATGTGGACATGACTTCTTGGTCACCATTGATTTTGGTATGTTAATGTGATATGATTGTTGTAAAAATAGTTTTATATGAATAAGAGCCTGTTTTAGACAGTTAAAGGAAAGCTCAGCCCAAAACTAATTTTAAACTGTCTTTAATGCTGTATCTCTTATTATTGCATATACTAGCTGTGCAGTAATTAAGCTGCTAAAATCCAACATAGTTACATTTAATTTAGATGTGTTACATAATTACATTTAATTAAGATGTGTTCAGAGGGAAATATAAAAAAAATGTTAAGTATAATGTTGAATTAGGAGAAAGTTTTTCATTTAAGAATATAGCAACAATTATACGATCTAACATAGATCTTTTTTTGTCAATTAAAGCAAGATATGATTAGGTTTTAGGCATCCTGGGTAAATTACTTGGTAGCCATTTTGAAATTTTGATAAACAGCACCATATTCACCACTGGTGTTCTTGTAAATAAATGGAATAAAACTGAAAAAATGCATAAATACATTCTCCATTTCAGGTGCAGACATCGATGTCTTAGAATGGAGCTGTGATTCTCAATTCATTGTGGCTGGTACAAGTAATGGAAGACTTCATTTTGTCGACATAGAGCGTCAGAAAATTCTATTCTCAAAGGTAAATGTTTTTGCTTCTGGGAATTATTCCATAAAATATCTCAGGATTATGTCAAATTAAAATAGATAACATCAGTTATCAGTTATTATGTTTACTAATTCTTTGTTCCTTTTTTAATATCATCAAGTCCCTTTATATATCTTCGTGGAACGACAATGGGTGGACGACAAAGGGGAATGATACAAGAGTAACACATGACAGTTTTTAAATTGAATTTAAAGTGCTTTTTATATTCACTTAGTTTGAAATGAACCATTATTGATATTAACTGGTCGTGTATTTCATTTACATATCTTGTTGACTGACTATTTTGTACGAATGCTATTTGTTTTTAGGATCTCGTCCCAGCGAGTGAAATAATTGAATCTAAAGCATTTCAGCGCATTGTTTTCACTTTGAGTACCACTCATACAAGCAGCAATTTGCTCATCCTGACCTCTAGTGGTAAAATTGTGCGAATCACACACATTGATCTGACTGCGATTCGAGAAGGTTTGTACTGTTTTAATCAATAAGATTAGAATCAGCATCAGGTTTGCATCTTTGAGTCTTGCATTTTGTTGAACCTTATATTAGTTTTGATGTATTTTGCATGTTAGTTAACACTTTGCAATAACCTGGCATTGCTGTTGCAGCTAAGAGTGGAAAAGATGCTGCGATTATTATGCAACAGTTGAAAATTGAGAAGGTTGACACAAGTGAGGCCCATGATGATAAAGTTTCAAGTGCAGATGTACTGGAGTCACATAGACTTGTCATAACTGCAGTGAGTAATATTTAGTTATGTACAATTATTACATTGGGAGGTGTCTACCCATATCGGCCGCATCCCATATGACTCAGTGAGAGATGATAATAACTGGACCCCTGGCCCCAAATGTATCTGGATTGGCGTAGTCATGTGGAGCACAGGCATTGCTGAATGGACATTATAAAGAAATTCCTGAATCATATTTTTGATCGAATTTATGTTCCAGGGAAGAGGTGATGCTGTATTGAGCTCATGGAGATTTGATGGAATAGAGGGCGCTATTCATCAGGCAGTCAGTGGCTTCATCACAAATGGTATGCCTCCTGTATAATATATTGAAATGTCTCCTGTATTAAGTAACTATTCTGGGCTATTAATATTGATCTATAATGTCAGTGCTCTCCCCATGCCAGCAGTTTCTGTATGAAGGATTATTTTAAGTGTAACATTCCAGGAGGCAAATTATCTGAATCCAGCATTTTGGTATCTGATTTTATTATTTTGTCAACACCAGAAGTGGTGTTATACTCTTAAATTGTTGGTATCTTTAACAAATGGCAGGTAGTGACATTTTGCATGCTATAATTATTATTGTTTATCTTAATGCTGTTTTTGATATTCCAGGTGTTGGGGTTAAGAAATGCAGACTGACTCAAGGTGGAAAATATCTGATAACCTTGCAAAATGATGTGAGTTTCTAGCTTTAATGTATGTTTATAAATTAATTTTTGCATGCACATGAAGTAACTCCTTGGAATAGGAATAGGATATATTTCCTGATATTATTTTAATCTACTTGTTGATATAAATATTTGCACTCATTTTCTATGCTCTCTCAGATATTGATATCAACTCGTGGATAAAAATGATATCAATCAAAATCATACGATAGTACTATGCATCATATACACCAGAACTATTTATTTATATTCCAGTACAGCGTTGGCATTTGGAATACAGGTTCTCTGTCCATGTTCATGCAATACTCAGATCTTCAAGTTGAAGACTTTGCACTTATAGAAACTGGAGACAAAACCTACAGGTAAGATGTTGCAATGACAAAACATACAGGTGAGACACTACAATCACAAAACATACAGGTAGACACTATATTACATAACATTGCTTAAAGTATGGCATCCATATGCAAACAATTGTGGAATGAGGAAGTTAATTTCATTAGACATAGGGGTAAAGAAATGGTGATTTAATTGAATAATATGGATTTTTTTCTTCATCTATTCTTTATCTATTAATTGAATGAATGAAAATATTTTGCTTTTAATTCCCTTAACAACATTTAAATTATTTTAGATTGTGTGACACAAAGATTGTGCTTTTGACATCAGCCAGTGCAGGAGGACAGCAACTTCATGTTTGTACAATGCCATCATTCAAGTCTGTTTATTGCATTGAACTCTCAGAGAATACATACCTTGCAGAATTCCCATCAAATACTGAGAATATCTATGTAGTTGAAGGGGTCTCTGATGAGGAGGGCAAGTGAGTATATTTGGGAGTCTGTTAAATGAATGTTTTTTGAATAGTGCTTCCTGAGATTAGCTCAAGTACTGAAAATATATAAAGAGGAATAAGCTATTTAATAGGGTGTTTTCTTATTCTAGTTCAGACTTGATTTCTACACTAAGACTGAGATGCTTATCCGAGGCCATGCCAGATACAAGGTAAGCGCATTAAAAGTATACATTTACATGTTAATATGCACATTTATAAGAGATGGCAAAATATTGAGACTCAAATATGGGACTAAGGTTCATATTTATAAGAAATGGAAAAGAGAATGTAAAAGTGTTTCTTTTGATAAAAATAAAGTCTCTCAGATAACATCAGTTTGCAGCCTCTGAATTATTATACATGTTATTATGTACTCTAAACAGTAATATATAATCATCTAGTATACAATCATATATTTGTCAGATTTTTCAACAATAACGCTCTCTTAGAGTATTTTAACATTATTCCAGATTGAATCGTATCTTACACAAGAAACAGTTTAATGAAGCTGAGCAGTTTGCCAAGCAATTTGGGTTAGATGTAGAGGTAATTCAAGTTAAAGTACCATTCATATATTATAATCACCAATTATTTAGAGGTCAAAGGTCAATTTACAGATATAATCATAGTCATTATACCCATTATTCACTGCCCTGTCAAGTTACATGTAGGAGCATATTAAAGACATTTTCATTTCTTAATGAGACCAACATGATTGGTCTTAAACACTTAATGTTTTCAGCTTGTGTACAAAGTTCACACCAGTCACCTACTAGATGACCTTTCACCTTGGAATGTAGGTGACCTTGATGAAGGTGAAATTGAGGCCAAGCATGCCACATTGAAAACCTGCCTGGCACTGATCAGTGATGACAACCATGTGATCGATTGTTGCATAAAAGCTGCCATGCCAACATTCCAAGCTACACTGGAGCTGCTGAAATATGCAAGAGAACGATTAAATAAAAAGATTAATGCCAAGGATTATGATATTGAGGAAGATGAGATCTCAAGGCCTGCACTACTTACAAAGGTAAACAACTTTGATATTCATAAATTTTATGATTCTTGCTCTGACCATGTTGTGATGTATCAGTGAGGACTTGCAGTATGCCTTACCTATAGAATTTATTTCTGATAAGTGCATGTGCACTGAACTAAGGGCACCTCTGGGGAGTTTCCAACTGCCTGTGTAACAATTCAGATACAGACATGAAAGAGACTGCTAAACTCAACACCCCATGCGGGAATTAAACCAAGGATCTTCAGATTCAAAGTCTGATGCTCTACCCCTGACCCAAATGGCTTAAGCCACCACAGCTGAGCTACAGTTGCAACTTGCTGTCCAGGGTCATTACATAATTACTTTGTATTTATAAATCTTATATTTAATTTTGTTTGTGGATTTAGATAATCAGTTGATATTTTATAACAACTTTCAAATAGAGACTATGTATTTTGAGTTGCTGTTAACCTCTTCTAGGTGCTAGAGACAATTCATAGACTGACTACATATAAGATTGCGTTTGGAGAGGATGAGTTTACTGGTAGTGCCTGGGATCACTTTATGAAGGCCAACATGCTGCAGGAGTTATTGCAATGGCTCTCAAGGGGGGAGGCCCACATCGCATTCACGATCTGGCAGCATCACCAAGTGAGTATTTAATGTTTCTGAATTTGAGTGCAGTTTGATAATACATGTGTTTTGTGGACATTTGATTGAATTCAAACAAGTTATTGTCTTTAGATTCATCTTGCTTGTACCTCAGTTGAAACACTCAATTCTGATTAGTTAATTAAAAGTAAACAATATGTACTCTTGATTGGTACTAGGTAATGTTGACAGCTACTTTTGAAAAAAAAGAAATTGAAAACATTTTGAAAAAATGAAAACATGGATATACTGTGATCCTTTAGACTGCATCCTCAGTGAGCATCAATGCCTGATTATATGTATAATATATATTTGTAGAGTGAATTTATCCCAGTGCTAGATTGTGATGTCGTAGAGGATATACTGCGATGTATTCCTGAGACTGCATCGTCAGTGAGCATCAAGGCCTGGTTCACGTCTGACTTCATACCCTTTGTCATCAGAAATCTTCCAAGTGCTCTTGTTAGTATTATATTCATACAGTGAATGTGAATAATAAATGTATAATGCCAAAGGGTATATCTACACATCCAAAAAGTATTGTGCTTTGTGAGTGACTGACTTAATGCATCCAGCAATATTATTTATGAGAGTAGCAGGCCTGTAAAAGCTGAATTCGAAAATAGGCAATCTAGTGCTCTGATGAACATTTGAACTACATATTAATTCAATATAATATTGAATTACTTAGAGTTTGATATTTTGAGTGAATAAAAACAATTTCAATGAAATCTTATGTTTCAGTATATTGTGGCCAAGTTTGTTGAAAAGAGAGCAAGAACAATGGAACTGAATGAGAAGGTAAGCACTGAAGGCCCTGGAGCTATATTCTGCCAGGTTCTTTATAGGATATATTTACAGGATATAATTGGCACATGAAACAAATTCTAGTTACACAGGTAGAGTAAACCATGCAAGTTCAAATTCATTTAAAATTAGTTTAATATTCAAGCCAAATACATTTGAGAAATGTCTTATTTTATAATTCAACATAGTTGTACACTGAACATGTACATGTCATCGCAATTGTTTGTTATTTTTTTGCAGAAAGACTGGCCACAGAATGCACTTTCAATGGCTGAATGCTTCCACAACACTTGCCTTGGTACATCAGAAGCCACTTCAATACAAGGTACTCTCTTAAAGCATTGTACTTTGAATTATGTATGGACTTTCTAATTTGTGAGTTATGCTTAATAACAGAGCACATCAGAGAAGGATAATTGGCTTCTGATTTTTATGTTGAATCGTTAGGATGGTATACTACAGAGACATATAGATAAGGAATCATTGGCTTGGGGTGATAGAAATTGTGTTTTAAGCCTTTATTGATACGGATTGCTTGTATATTTATAACACATCTTATTGCAGGTCTTGCGACTATAGCGAGTTTGTCACTCAGATATGTAACATGTCCATTATGTATATAACATGTTATTGCAGGTCTTGCAACTATAGGGGAGTTTGTCACTCAGATATGCAACATGTCCATTATGTATGTAACATGGTATTGCAGGTCTTGCAACTAATGGGAGTTTGTCACTCAGATATGTAACATGTCAATTATGTATATAACATGTTATTGCAGGTCTTGCGACTATAGGAGAGTTCGTCACTCGGATATGTAACATGTCAATTATGTATATAACATGTTATTGCAGGTCTTGCGACTATAGGGGAGTTTGTCACTCAGATATGTAACATGTCAATTGGTTACACTGTATCTAAGACTGAGAAATTGTTAGATTCAGCAAACAAAGAACGAACTGAGGAAGATGTAAGCATATTTTTCAACTGCATCTCAAGGAGCTTTCTTAAATGCATATTATATTTTAGCATTTTTACTGTTTTTACAGACAGTATTATTATTTGGAAATACGCAAAGACATTGATTATGACTCATCAATTTATTCTAAATTTTGCATTTTCAATGAGTTAATCCATTGTAATATGAGCATGCTGTAACAAATGAATAAATGAAAATCTTAATGCTCTCCAGAGTTTGAAGGTTGAATCCAAGGTTTTCCTGAGTCTGCAAAGACTGATAATGAACCTGAGGGACTTGCTAAGTCTCCATACCAAGTACAATTGTAAACTCTCCCTAGCAGAGTATATACAGGTATTGTTCATGTTATTTTGCCATATTTGAAATGCTTTGATTTCTTAGTTCATCTCCTGGTAGCATACATAAACCATAATATATTTTAAGTTCTTTGTAATGAAAACTAAGATTTGTTTGTTGTTCTTAAATCACTATCAAACATATTTTCATGTTTTCTGCCTGCAACAGTCTGCATTCATGATACATGTATGTTTACCAATCATAAATTTTGTTTTTGTCGTACTTAAAAAGGTATTATATGATATTATCAGATTTGTGGTTCTTGGGCAGTTGGTAGCCTATCACTAGAATTACTTTTACATTTATGTTATCTTAGGAGACAACAGAGTCCCTTACATACAGAATGCTTGACAGGGTGAATGCTATACAATTGATACCCAGTGCTTTGGAGAAAGTTGTTAAGCCATACATGAAGGAACACCATTTGGATGAGGATAAAATGCTCTATCAATACATACAGGTACGTCTAAGGCATCACCTTTCATTTTTATATCACAACCACAAGTGTGAGTGACGTATTCTTATAATCTCGAACTTTTTTGTGGGCGGTATTCAGCGGTTGACGTTTGGCGGTGTGTCTGTAAAAATGGCAGATTGTAACATTTTGCATTTTATGCCTTGTTATGATTCTTAGGAGTTCTGTGGTGACATTTTGTTCATTTTTGTTTGTTGTTTATTCTAGGCAAAATGTTATTATGAAAATCAATTATAGAACCAAAAAGAGCTAAAATATTTTGTTATGTAAAACAACTTTATTGTACATGTAGTGTAGCCATGACCTCTTAAATGTCACTTTATTCTATAAATTGGTCCCCTGAACTACAATGGAATATTACTATGTAATTCAGGACTTGCTGGAGAGATTCCGTACAGTATCTCTATATCGTGGTGACTCCCACTGGGAAGCCAAGGCCATTGCAGTTATACATTGTATCAAAGAACCAGAGGTAAGTAAAACAGTGTTGCATATAAGATGACTTGTTTTATAGATGGATAAATAGATGGCAGTTATAGTTATGGTCTGGCCACAATATCATTACATAATATGGAACCAATTGATCACAAAAAATAACTCTGCAAATCAGAGTTAGAAATTCCTTTCATACAATATAATGTCTCATGAATAAAAAGATTTCCACTTGTAAAAATCATATTTTTTCTGAAGTGATAGAACAGTCATTTGTCTTTGTGGTTATAGAGCATTGTGTTTTTGAAAACACCATACATTTAATTTCAGTACAAGTGTTTGTCTATCCTCCTGGCCATGAAGCAAGCCTACATCCCTCTCAGCTCTGATATGGATGCATTGGTACAAGAGGGCCTGCAGTTGAATATTCCAAGGTAAGTTAAATCATTGGCCTGGTTAAACCCTTGGACCATTGACACTTTTTGAACAATTAAAATGTATCTCTCACTGAAATATAAACATTTAACACCAGGAATCAGAATACCTATTTGATAGCATATTAATAACATCATATCAGAGATATATATGTCTCTGGTCTTATACATATATTGTCTTATTTAGAGTGGTAGAGTTGAAAGAGCAATGCAAACTGATGTCATTGCGTGAAATCCTAGCCAACTATGGTTTGAGAAACTATCCAATGGGGGACGTGTCACGTTCAGAGGTATGTCACAATGTATTTTAATGCTATTATATAACTTGGAACACAAGAATATTCAGCTTTATCCCATACCTACTGAGGTGGAAGAAGTAACATGCAGAAATATACATTGTATCTTAGTAGTGACATCAGGGTCTGAGAAATACATAAATATCCATTCAAGTTAAGTTCCTCTTAAAATTAAAGTGAATTCAGTTCAATATTATTCAGTTCATATTAACCATGGTTTTCTTTTTTCATTGAACAACCCTATGGTCTTCAGAGATTGGTGATGTACATTCTGCACCAGGACAGACCAGAGTGCTTGAAAGATGCTTTAGAGGTTGTTAAAGCCTACAACAACCTCAGTGACATCACTGCTTACATCTTTAGACTGAACTTCCTAATCAAGAACAACAGGGTAGGTACACACATCGTCGCATGAGAATAACTTTGTACTAACTGCCATTTTCAAAAAAATTGAGATAGACATGGAATTTTACTATTTGAAACACAGGCTTTCATCTCAGATACATGCCCCATCTCAATTCCCTCTCATTAAGCTAGAATTCAGTGTGAAATTGTACCATCTCCAGACAAACAGCTTACTTCTAATTTCAAATTGTCATATCTGATATCAACTGTTTCAACCAATCAACTCTCTAAGAATTGGTCATGTGACTTGCAAAACTTGGAGTTATAACAATCTTATATTAAAACGAAGTATGCCAATATGCATGTTATTGTATCTAGAATGAAATAATGTTTTGTAACACAATACCATGCCAGTTTGCATGCCTGGCCTTTCATGTTTTAGTTTTAGAACTATTACAAGTAGATCAAAAAAATAAAATGATACAGTATGTGTAATCCCATGCATTTTCAAATTATATGCCCTCAATTACTCTTTGTATTATGGATGCTCATTGGATTATTCATGGCCACATGATATGAAATAGAATTACTAATTTCCTCGAAAACCTAAATCCTTGCTACCAGGGAAGATGAAAAGTACAAATGACCAGTTAATTAGATCATGTGAGCAGTCAAAAGTACCCTTTATCTTCCCTGCTACCAGGTCTTATAGGGGTTTGAATGGCCAAATGCAATAGAAATGCATATAAGAAGCTGTCATCATTAAATGTTGAAAATGAAAGACTACTTATTTGTTTCTTCAAATAGAGTACATAATAATAGGTAATATACTAGATATAGTAATCAAAACAAATAGTAACTGTCATATTTTGCACTACATTGCTCAAAGACAATCACTGTCTGTATACTATTGAAATCTCTTTCAAAATGATGTTTTATAGTTTGTGGAAAAAAGCTAAATCTATTTAAACTAGCTTTAACTTTTACTGACCATACACTATATCAATAAGGAGTTATCTTTATGTTAGTATAGTCCCTTAAAACACTTATTTTATTTTCTCTTCATCTATGATTTACTTTGCGCTTTTCACTGAACATCTGGGATCTTTTTAGTTATTTTATTACTAGTATGTTTTTCAGATTTGTCCTTTCTTTTGCATTTTTGGGATCATTGTTTTTAGATCATCTACATTTTATTTTGGAAAAGTAACAAATTGGTTCAATTTCTTTACAAAGAGCCACTCTTAGTCTCCACTTCTACAATTGCTTCAATTCCCAATTGTACTCCACAGAGTAGCAAACAACAGAAAATGAATGGATAATGATAGCTGCATCCCAATGAACAAAATGTGATTACCTAAATCGAGGTTTCATCACTTTCATTAATCTAAAATGAATTAGAAATTATTTTTCTATTTTCAAATTTCTTCCATGTGCATGTAATAAAAATTGGTTATGTCTTAGGCCCTAAGGATCTGAAACCTGCTGGTCAAAATGGAATTACGGACCAGTTGCAATGTGGGGGACCGTATTGGCATCATTGGTTTCAATGCATTGTACTTCTGCCTTAGTTCTTTTTGAAGGGTGTCCTGAGATTCCAAAATTAAGAAATAATTGTACTTATTTGAGAAATTGATTTTAAAGGGTTCCGATTAGCATCCCGTATAAAAACAATATGGCGGCTCCAGGCGAATCAACTGGATCAGTCCATTTTTAAGAAATAAGGGGAGTTCTGTAAAATCCAGTTTATTGAAATTGTCTTTGAGATAAAGTAATCCGTTTATAATGATTTTGAAAACGTTACCCAAAGAGTGATTGCGCTCAAAGAATACATGTACAACAGCCAATATAAATCCTTGTATTAGAAACCGGTTTGTCTTGCTTTGTTTCATTTGTAGGATATTTCATATGCCAAGCTGTGTGCTATTACCTTATTGGGAAATTAAATGCCAATTTTTCCTTATTATACACAAATAGAAGATCCTGAAACTTCACCCATAAATGTGGAATTGATTTGTCAAAATAAAAATCACCCTTTTATAAATGTGTGACGATCTATAATATACTTATGCTATATAACAGTTAGAGGTGTTGACACAACGACCTCGAGCCTGTGAACCCTTGAGTATTATTCCGGGATCGGGCCTTTTATACTAAACGGTGAGCAACACCAGAAACGAGCGTTCGATTTGCTAAACGATATGCGTCACCCTTTAAAGTTTTATAAATTGAATTTTATTTATTTTATTAAATAATATTCTTTGGTTTTTGAAGATTTTTTTACAAAGCAAAACATTATTTTTCATTCTACGAGATACAATAACATGCATTCTGTCCTAACAAAGCTTCTTCATTCTCAATAAAAAACCTAACACACATCCTCTTAGGTATGGTTCTGCACCAAGCGCCGAGAGTGGAGCTGCAGTAACCGTTTATTCCAACTGACAAATACAATATCATCATCATCTTTCAACATTAATTAACATGATTACAATGCGATCTTTATCGATTATTATGTATTTAATTAGCGTCTACAAACTATTTTGCTGATACAAGAGTTGCTATTTTGCACTTGAATAAAATGGTTTGTCTGTGACCAAAGTTGTTAACGATGCAACTGTTGCACCGGCTCCTGATCCGGGAACCCAACCCTTTATATAAAAACTGCAATACACCAGCGCGTACTTTACAGAAAATTCTATAGGGAGGTCCACCTCTCCATGAAAAGGAGCAGTGTGAGGATTTGAACTTCTACAAGTATTTACCTAATAACCATGGTAATTATTTTTTGAACATACAATAAACTAAATACATGTTATTCTAAAATAATGTAAAGTTTAGTCCACCCGCTTTGGCGTTTAGAACCGAGATGACGCCTACAAAACCTTTCAATACCCAAGAAAACAATCCACTCATACATGACCTCGTTCTATTATTAAATCATTTCAAACCACCTTGACCGTACAGAAATTATTTATACACTAATTCATACTTCGTGATTCAACCGTGAATAAATACATTATTGGCATACTTTGTTTTAATATAAGATTGTTATAACTCCAAGTTTTGCAAGTCACATGACCAATTCTTAGAGAGTTGATTGGTTGAAATAGTTGATATCAGATATGACAATTTGAAATTAGAAATAAGCTGTTATTCCGGTGGGAAATTGTATCAACTCCATTTCCATAGTTTTAAAAAAGGATCTTGTAAATTGTTTCAAGGTATGATATTTCATATAAGATATCTCTAGGGTGAGACCAGGTGACATACAAAAAATCAAGTTTCACATAGCAATACTAAGTAAGATACAGACCTCTAAACTTTCAAACCTTGATTTCTCAGTTCCGTAAAAATGTGAGTTAGTACAAAGTTATTCTCATGCGACGACATGTTAACAGGCATTTTTAGTCTCAGTGTTTGATTTTGTACAATTAATCCTTTTTGTTGACTGCTTTAATACTACCTACCAATGAAAAACTTTTGAAGTGAATTGTTTTGGATATTAAAGCATACTAAGGGTTTCACTAGAATTTCTCACAACAGGCTAAATAAATGACGAGAACAGGCAAAATTAATGGAAATCATAAATTTAACATGGAAAAGTTGAAAAGTCCCCAAAAACAACCAGTGAAAATCGCCTGCTGCTAATGAAACCCCTGATACTTGAAAATAGTTTTTGTTCTGTTTTACAGCCATTGAATTAAATGATAACATGTAGATTATTGGTCTTTTACTCCCACCCAGATCGGATTTAAATGTTAACTTGTAGAAATCAATTATTCAGATTAAATTTAAATCTTTTAAGATTTTGGAAGCTATGGAGCTATTGAGGTCCCTCCCCACAGGGCAGGCCCTGATATGTGGAAGCAGGGTTGTAAGTGGCACCCTAATTCTCCTAAACACCCACTGGACTCTATATGAAGATGAGAAGCTGGAGAGGATTCTATTCATGGAGGCATCTATTAAGATCCTGAAGGCTTTATATACATTGGATAAAAGTATGACATTGTAGGGTCACCCTGTATTAACGCTAAGTTCACACCAACGGCGCTTTAAAGCGCTCTGCAAAGCCGCTTTGCACGCCGCTTTAAAGTGCCATCAAAGCGCCATTGGTGTGAACCTAGCTTAAAGATTTTGCTTTATATCATAGATATATTTCTATGTCACCACAATTAGTGATATATTGTTATAGTCTCCAACTTTTTTTGTGGATGGTGTTTGGCAATTGGGATTCGGCAGTTGGTTTTCGAAGTTCAGCATCTGCAACAAATGGTAGATGGTGACATTTTGCATATTAATGCCTTGTTAAATAATGTCTACACACATATATACATTCATTCTTAAGATCTGATCCTGAAAGCAATACACTGGATATGAGTATGATGTTTTAGATGACATTATTTGAAAAATGTTCATTTAAATGTAAAGAAAATATCCTGCAAGTCTTATTTGTAGACAATGATGTGGTGCAGGAGTACTACCAGTATCTACCTGATCTTCAAAGGATACTAGCCTTACAGGTGAGCAATGCCATCATCTTAAGCTTAATAAGTGAGATGTGGAATTCATTCATGTGATGTTTAAACATTTGGATGAACTATTGAATAGATGGAGCTGACATTGAACTTCACATGGTTTAATTTTTAAAATTGCAAACTTTCATCAAGCTTTATTATCTCATGACAATATTTTTTTTTGACATAACAGACAAAGGATGAGTCTGGGAATGAGTCTGGGTATCGACTTAGAAAATATTGAAAATTGTAATGTCTGAAAAACCAACTCAATTGCACATATTATTAAACTTCAATATCTTATCCTTCTTCTGAGAGTACAAAAATATCAATTTGTATCACAATTAATGAAGAATATTGGCATCAAAGACAGTGCATATCACTTTGTCAGAATTGAAAAAAAATCAATGGCAAATATTAAATGAATTATTTATGCAAAAGGTTTGAAACATATCCTCCAAAACATTGCTTACTTTCTTTGTATAGACATTGAATGGCATTTCTGGATAAGTGAATTGGTGTTTATCTGGGTAATCAAGGGATTATAGTCACTCAAAGTTACTGAGCATCCAGTTTTGAGACTTCAATTGTGTTGGTGAAGTTACACATATTTCAGTCAAATTCATGCTGAGCACAACATTCCGGTTTCAATTTTATAATCTCTATACATGACCCTGGTGATGAAGAGTCAGAATCAGTCAAAAAACCTAAACAAGAAAACTGTGCTCATTGTGAAAACTAAAAGTGAAGCAACTTTTTTTCTGATATTTCTTACATCAAATGGCAGCCATCTTGTTTTTCCCCCTTCAAATTAAACTGGCGGGAAATTCAAAAATTTGAAAAAAATCTTAATCCTTAAATATATTTCAAAAATATGATTTTCTTTTAAATTCTTCATGGGTCTTAAGTTATTTCTTCTTTGTAAGTCATACATGTTGCCATTGATGTTTTTTTTCTATGATAATGACTATTTGGTTTTGTTAAGATACTTATTCTGACTCTCAGCAGGGGGTTAATTATGCATCAAAACTCGTGAAAAAGTAAATATACTTATGAAATATAACTAGGACAGTAATAAAAAACATATTTAACATACATTTGACTGAGGGACCAAAAGGGCATATACCCGGACACATTATTAGATTATTTAGATTATAGAATCATTCACATACACATCTATTAGTGATTAAGCAGCTTTTTATGATGTATGATTCATCTTTCATTTTGTAGGTTGAATTTGGAGAATTCATGAGACTCGAGGACTATTGTACAGAGGAGAATCGTAAATCTCTTCTCTTCAAACGTTTGCAGCTCCACTTCAGTGGAAAACAAACACCCTTAGAAAAGGTACATTTTCACATCCCGTAAAATGTTATAGGATATATTGTTTGTTCGGATACATATTCTGATCCTTTCATGTGTGAAAATATATTTTTCAGAATATATGCAAATTGACACATTTTTATTTTACACATTATAATCTGTTTTGAGGAAATAATCTATTTGTACTTAACATTCCTTTTACGAGCTTATTTATAAAACACACAATGGCCATGTATTTTCTCAGATGTTTTGCATGACATTTTTGATCACCGCACAGGCTCAACACATTGACAGCGATCGAAAATCTAGCAAAAGTAAGACGTCAGGATATGCGAAGATATTCCGCTTGGCCAACATTTTACGAGTCTCGAATGATGAATTGCGTGGGCAGTTAGCCATACACACAGCCAGGAATGAAGATGTACAGACTGCTCTCAAGTTTTGCAGGTAGGTGTCGCTCAAATCATTCCATTATAAAGCCCAATATTAATGATTATAAGATATTGTAAACATTAAGAATAGGGCAAAATTCCTCTTAGTGTTATGTTCAATATTGTGTTCAATTTTGAACAAAATACTCAATTGGATGGGCGCCGTAGTGAAAATCGGAGCAAATGTGACCAAGGCAATAGGGATGTTGCAAAATAGAGGCATCTTACTTATAAGATGCTTCAAAAGTTATTAGTAAATCTTTACAAATATGTTTAAACATATTTGTATAGTATTTATGAGATGTTTTACAGTTATACTTGACATGAAATGTCTTAAAAACATCAAAATGTTATTTTTAAGGCTTTTTAGCTCACATGGTGTGAGCTATTGTAATCATGCATTTGTTTATTACAGTGCCATTCAATAAAGTTTCTCACAGTTTAATACACTATATTATGTCATTTTAAAATACAGTAGAACCTGTATATCTGAACACCTGGCTAATCCGAACACCTTCCAATTTGAACACTTTTTTTCGGTCCCATTTTTTCCTCCCATTGACTCCCATGTTAAAAAACCTTGAAATCTGAACACCTCCTAATTTGAACAGTGAACAACCAGATTTGAAAAAGTGACCTGTCTAATCTGAACATTTTTATTAGAAATCAAATGTCTGGACATTTTATTTAAAGCCACATATTGAGTCAATGTTATAGTTGTTATTTATCTTTACATATACAATGTAATCAAAGAACCAATTGTCCTAATTAACTTGTTTAGTCTCAGTGACATCCCTAATTTGTGGAAAACAACAGGATGTTTTGGAAAGGTGTGAATACAGGAGCTAATTGGTTTATCCTTTTTGAAAAGAACTGAATGTTTTATGTTTGGATTAAGAAAAAGGTGTGAATCAAGAAGACAATTGATTTATCATTATTAGAAATTACCTGGATGTTTTTGATTTGGATTAAGAGAAAGGTAAGAATCTGGGAGATAATTGGTTTATCCTTATTGTAAATTAACCGGATGTGTTTGATTTGGATTATGAACAGGTCTTAACTGTTTGGTATCCCATGGGTCTGTTATGATAGCTAAGATTCAATCAGTAAAAGTTTTATAATCACAAAGACAACACAGACGCCATTTGCAGACAAGATTATATCACGAGAAAGAGAAAGAATTCAACTTCGTAATATCCTAAAAAGGCATACATCTGATATTCTGAATGCCCTTGATATTTTGAAGGATTATACATCATCTCGAATGAACACTCATGAAAAATTATTTTTACTTGAAGAAGATATCTACTCAAATATTGCTAATGCTAAAAGTGCCAAGAAACAAACAACATTGAAGGACTTTTTCAAGCAAAAGCAAAGCAGTGCGATTTGGTACGAGACTATCATATACTTTTACAGTGTAGTACAAAGTTTTTGCCAAAATATAACAGTTATTTTTACTAAAATGATGAAATTGTTCAAAATATAAATAAAACATAGTATTTAGGCTATAGGCCTATTATAGAATTAACTCATCAACAACATGTATTGTTTTCTGACTTAGTATTAAGTGTTCAATATAGTGGACTGACCAAGAAAATCCCCCACCCCGACCAACAAAATCCTCGAAATTTGAACACCTGCCAATTTGAACGCTTTTGGCTGGTCCCATGGGTGTTCGAATTAGACAGGTTTTACTGTACAGTAATAAGATGTTATTATAATAAGATAGTATGCATTAATGTTTTCACAGACTTAAAAACTCCTGCCAATATGATATGCATTAATTGGTACCTAGTGATTCAGCCATCAGTGTCTAGTTGAAGAATGAATGGCCAATCTACATTTGATTTGCGCTTGGGTTAAGGTGTAAATTCAGTCTACCGAGGGTGTATTGTGAGTACAGTTTATGTAAGTCATAGTTAAACAGGCAAATGCTAACGCTGCAAGGAAAACTAAAGCATCAAAATCTTCAGGGTTTTTGATAATGTAATTTGAAATGCATTATGAAGCTCATTGATATCAATATTTGCACTCATTTGCTGCGCTCATGATACTGTGAGCTGTCGATCATCTAATGGTCACAGTATGTTGAGATCTGGTTAGAATCTGTGTTGTTAAAGAATAAGTTTTAATATGCACATAAAATGTTGCAATATTTTAAACATTAAAAAATTATTTAAAGGGCTGTAAATTGTTCTAAGTATCTTAATCCTTACTATCCAGTGAAAGATTTATATTCCCTTTGAGTATATAACTATCTCATTGAACGAAGTTTAGGGCTTATAAAGAACACCTCTGTTCACATTTCCATACTTCCATCCATTCAGCCAAGAACCTGAATAGCATTTGGTATAATACTGTTCAGTGTTCATACATCATACACTCATGTCCTATGGGAATAGAAGTCTGCTCTAAAGCCAATAATATTGTTGGTTCATTCCAAAATCCTAGAAAATATTTTTTAAAAATATGAATTAACAATATTATCTTGGTATTTTAAATGTAAGTACATGTATTTTGTAACATGTCACTCCATATTGGTGGAATCCAACCTGAAATCTGATAAGTTCATAAGTGTTAACCAATTTTATTTGAGACATTTTATTTTTTTGCCTGAAAAAAGATCAAACAAGTTTTGTTATATTATACTTCATTATCTCAGTGGCAATTTCAAGGAGTGTTGCTTTACATTTTTGCTATAACTTATAAAGAATAGAAAATTTTGTTGAAACAAAAGCAAACATGATCCATTATTATGTTTTGGCAGTCTATTTAGTATCATGCTGGTGGTCATTTTGAGAAGTGATGACTGGCAGTCTTGCCAGACACATGATGTTGAGTGGGATTTAAAATGCAATACTTGGCATTGCCAGTATTCCTATTCAAAATAGTACACAGGAACACATCTTTATTGAACATTTGATTTGGTACCATTTGTAGAGTCTAGAAAGCTTCACTGTATGAGTTATTACAAATGCTTGAAGATGAATTCACTTGTCTCAACCTATAAACTATATTACTGATTCCTATTAGGCTGTTTTATCACCCTTATGAAGGCTCATTCATTTATGGCACTGGCAGTCAATGAACAGTCTTGTGGAATTAAGATTACTAGTGACACACAGTATTGAGGAAATTGCTAAAAGCATCTGTAGCAGTGACAACTTTGTAAATGTATTTTCACTTTTACATCAAGATTTAGTGGGGTGGGCTGACATAAAGTTCAATGTAGGATCAAAGTGGGTGTCAGATTTGTATACTTTTGGTATGAGTCGTCAACCTGCATCATAATCATATTTAAAATAAATTGCTGGTGTATCATTTTATTATTTGCATTACATGTAATTTGATTGAAGAGAGTGAGATTGCTATTCACTGTAAATATATATCATTTCCATGCTTTTGTCTTTTTTCATATTATTTCATGCAGTATACCTGTTTTGTCCCTATTTCTCATTATGGATTAGATGTCATGTCGTTTAAACAAAAGCAGTGCCACTGCTATCCGAAATCCTTTTCACTCTGTTTGAGGTATCAGATGTTTTTGATACCAAAATAGTTCTGTTTGAATAGAAACATTTTGCACAGACATTTTCGATAAAGTCTTTTCTAAAATCTTCTGACACAAAGTTATAGATGATGGGATTAATACAACTATTTGAGTATGCTAGTACCTCAGCCACAATACCAAATATGGCAAAAGCTTCACTGGTGTATATAACATGGATTGGTAAACAACTGCTTAAGATTACATATAGTTGAATCGGTAGCCAGCATACTGCAAAGCCTGTTGTCGTGGCGATGATGATTCTGTTTGCATTGCGCCTTCTCCTGATTGAACCTGGAGTGACATCAGCTGAGTTCTTGTTAATATGACGTACAATGAGAAAATGGGTGACGGAAACTATAGTAACTGGAAGAATGTAAGAGAACACAAGAAAACAAAGCATCTTTTTCTTATTTGCCTCTGGATAAATTGACCCACATAATGTATATACTCTTCCATATAGATGTGGTCTAAATTTCTTTGTTCCAAAAATGAACAAATTAGGAATGTTCACAAGAGGTACTATTACCCATAATCCCATATATACAAAAAGTGTGTACATCCTGTGCTGACTTGGTATATTGCCAGAAAATCGTGCCCTTACAATGGTGAAATATCTTGTGACTGAAATTGCAACTAATGAATATATTGACATATATGCAGAAAATTCTTTGAGAAAATGTAATAATTTACACATAGCATCTCCAAATGGCCAGTTTTCCATAACTCTATATGCTGCAGCTACCGGAACACAAATGATTATGAACAATAGATCTGCTACAGCCAGGTTCACCAGCAAACCATTCAAGATCATTTGTTTCTTTGAATTTTTCTTAAACACCAATGTGTAGATTACCAGGCAGCTTCCAATTGTTCCTATTACTGTTATTATTGTAAACAGTGTTGGTATTATGATTTTGATTGCAGACACATCATACTCATCAGTTGTAAAGTCTTGGTCTGTGTTATTAAAGCTGCCATTCTCTTTCAAGACATAGGTTATCTGTTCAGTTGTAGTGTTCAGGCTTTCCATAATGTTTAGGCAGTATTCTGTCGCTTTACCTGAAATTAAAAAATATCATTCATCTTATTGACATTTGCAAAGATGTTTAATGCTTCTTAACTTGTGGATCATCACCCTATGCAGACAGAGCCTGTGGGAAATATTGGGTGCGGCGCAAATGAGCGGAGGGTGCGGAGCTAACGGTCATTTTTGAAATTAAAATTGGGATATTTCTGAAACTAAGCCGTTTTGGGACTTCAAATATACCAAGATATGTGTATTTGACACCAAATATCAATAAAATTGTGAAAATAGTAGTGAAATTCATTTTATAGCGACGCAGTATGCCTTAAACATTTCCCAGACCTATATATTTTGAGACTATCCTTTTAATACTGCGTCCCCAGCATTCATAAAAAATGGTGTTCAAGATACACTACCCATGCAAATTATTTTTGCATCTTGGAAGCCAGGCAGTATCTGTGTGATTTTATAAAAATTCGGAAATGTTCTTCAGATATGAGCCCCTCTAAATATTGGGTGCGGAGCTACGTTTATGGAGCTGCTCCGCACCCAATATTTAGAGGGGGCTCATATCTGAAAAAATTTCCGAATTTTTATAAAATCACACAGGTACTGCCTGGCTTCCAAGATGCAAAAATAATTTGTATGGATAGTGCACCTTGAACACCATTTTTTATGAATGCTGGGGACTCAGTATTAAAAGGATAATTTCAAAATATATAGGTCTGGGAAAGGTTTAAGGCACACTGCGTCGCTATAGAATGAATTGCGCTACTATTTTCACAATTGTATAGATATTTGGTGTCAAATACACATATCTTGGTATATTTGAAGTCCCAAAACGGCTTAGTTTCAGAAATATCCCAAATTTAAATTCAAAAATGACCGTTAGCTCCGCACCCTCCGCTCATTTGCTCCGCACCCAATATTTCCCACAGGCTCTGTCTGCATAGGGTGATCATATGACTTCCGAAGTAATTGATAGATGAGAAAAGGTGCTATCACAAATTGTATTAAAAACTCAATGATAATTTCCAAAAGTTGTGGTTTTAAAGTTTCAAAACTTGATATATGTCTTCCAATTTGAACAAAGTGTTTGTGTATTGCTCACATCTTAATATCTCATAAGATCTCTTTCCTTGTGACACAGTCAAATGCCTTGTCAGGGTAAGTGTATAGGCAGTTATACTGTTAGCTTCCTGATTAAATGCAATCTGAAAACACTTAGAACATTGTTATCTACACTTAGAATGTCAATACGGCCTTCCTTTCTATTCTTTCCATCTGAATCTTGTTTGTTTTATTGTCAGTCTGATCGAGAATAAGATCTATTGAGACAATGATCAAGTGCAAAGCTCACTGGAAATTACAGACATTTATACCCAACTAAATAAAAAATGTTGCCAATGGCTTCAGTTGTAACATCATAGATTTATGTCAATTTTGCAGGCATGACAACAACTTGAAGTCATTTCAAGTCATCAATTACATCACAGGTTCACAATCATTTTCTTGTCAATCATATTGAAAAGGATTATGTTATCACTCTTGTTGCAGCTTTATGAACTTTATGGCAAAAGATTCCAGTTTACGAAGTCGGTCATCTAAGCTGATGGGAAATTTCCTCTGGACAGAATCCATGGAACAACATGTAAAAACTTAAAGCAACACCAACGAACGATACCAATCCATAGAATCATTTCCACAATAAAATGCTTCATTTGATTTCAAAAACCCTATTAATTAATTAACTTCCCACACAACTTGTTTCAAAAGCATTGCATTCTATTCCATTTAGTCCATCACCTCTAAGTGACTTCTTCAGCTTCAGGTTCATAATTAGAAAAATGTATTTTACTGCTTCTTTTGTATGCTTGTTATTTTGTTGAGCCAAGAGACCACATATCCTCTTTAGGCACACTAAAATATATTGGTTATCTGATGATCCACTAATGTTGTATCTTTGTGTTTTATTGTATTCACCACCTTGTAAGACTAATTTCCCAAGTTGATCATTTTGCCATGTCAGGACTACCTTTTCCTAAGCAGTCATATTGGGAGTGTTAATTTAAATTTGTCCTTTAAAGAAATTTATGTCAGAAAGTGCAAGAGGAAAGCTTTTGAGGAATATTAAAACAAAGAAAGTTCATTTAGGAATCAGGAAAGACATTAGATATTTTAGATATTCAAAGTATATGATAGATTGATAGTGTATTATTTTTATCTTTCAGATATGTGTCATTTAAATTTCAACACAGCTGCCAAAATGCATGAGTCTGGTCTCATGAAGTATGCTATCAATCAAATGAAATTGTTCAAAAATAAACCACAAATTTTCTTTTACTATTTGTTGCATGAAAATGGAAATAAAATGTCCATCATGACAATTTTAAAAGATTTTTTTTTTTTTGAAATTAAATACTCCGTGTCATTTTTCCCTCCTTGTCGTTGACATTTTCTAATTGCAATCATTATTGAACAATTCTACATATTAATTATTGCGGTGCACTTTCCACGTGTTATCTTGTACTTTTAGGCTTTTATATTTATCTGACACTTATATTAGAGATATATTACATTTCCATGTTAATCTTACTTATAGTATCAATGGGGCATAGCTTAATCATAAAACAGGAGTGGCAGTGCTTGAAAACACTAATAAATAAGAACTCTAATTCATCATCTTTCTATAAATCAAACAATCAAATTTATGGGGAGAAATATAAAAATTTGCATTTGACATAAAAAGTGTACTGAATTTATTTAATATTTTAATGATGCATCTGTGGTCATAATGGTGGTTTAGTATGTAAGCAGGTTTGATTAACTAATTAGTTTTTATTGTTTCATTGTCTTGTTTATAGAAGAATCCTGGCAAGTCTTTGTTTTACAATGAAGATATGTTATCAGGCCATGATATATAAGTGGTATTATTTTTATCTATAGGACTTGATAAAATCTTACCATGAACAGATCATGAAATGTTAGTAATGGGAATCAATTAAAACATTTATCTGTACATTTTCATTTCGAAATAATCATAATTTATGATAAAAATTCACAGATTAAGGCATGCATGGTACATTGTCATATCACATTTGCTTTGTGGCAAGAGACAAGCAACATATGAATAACTCAAAATATGATTCACATTGTGGCATTTTATTGCATGAAGACCATCCTTAACATGAATTTCATTATTACAGATTTTCATTATCTTTTAATAATATGATAATATATAAGGCCAAGGCTATTCATATTGTGTTTAACGTCCTGTTGGACTGAATCTTATATATATATATATTAATTGGAGTTTGGGAGGTGAAAAACCTTCATTTATATTATATGAAAAACCAGCAATTAAAACAGACAATTATTTATATACAATTAAAGTACATGAATTAATATTATTTTGCTTATGCACATTGAACCACTTATGTATTAACTACATTTTTTCTCAATTAAAGTAAGTATACTAGTCTGCTTGAGATTGGTTATAATCAGTATTTTGCAAGCATCGGATATCCAATTATCTGAATACCATTCAGTAGTGTGTCAAAATTGATTTATTGGAACACTGAAAGTGTGAGTATATCATGAAACAGTGTTATAATCAGTTCTCTCTCATTTGTTGGGAGTGCTGTAATGAATGACGATTGGGATAATATGGCCTAATGGTTTTGATACGAATCACAAGGGACTTTCAGGGGTACACCTTGTTCACCTATATACTTCACCTCAATTTCCCTCAGTGAGGTATGGTGTAGTGCATGGTACTGCTTATTGCGCAGTATTTATCTTTTACTGGAAGAAACTAATTGCACACTAGGTGAATATTAATTTTTTATAATATATTATTTAGTATTAAAAATAGTGTCAGATAACACAATATGATTGGATAACTATTTATGTCCTACCCCACTCCATCATTCACTATTTGTTTGTTATCATAATCACCCTTTCACACATCATTGATTCAAGTCATATTCACCTGATGAAAGACTGCGTGATATAACACAATGAATAAACTGTACAAGGAGGCCATGGGTCTCAAACTTGCAACCTTGTGGCTATGACACCCATACGCCTAGCTCAAACATGCTGGCACCCAGCCCTCTTGGCCAACTTGACAATCCCCAATATTGACAACTAGTGGTATTCACAGCTCCCAAGAATTTTATAAGAAATTATCTCTAAAATATAAAGTTATCCATTTAATTTTATAGCATGGATGCCTTACAAAGAAAGCAAAAACTTATGATTGCATGTATGTACAATTGAATAACAATATAAGCCTAATACCAAGCCATATTAGTAGCACTTCATCTCAAAGATTAGGAAGACACCGTCCATCATTCATTCAAACAGATTAAAGGTACTTGTCAGGAAGATTGACAACCCTTCATTTCTTATTTTCTCTTTCGATGAATTACTTTTAGACTATTCATCTGCGATTGATCAGTTTGTGATTGTCTTGTTTTCAAAGTTTTCACTCTGCAATTATAGAGGTCAGAGGTTGATAAGTATTGATATCATTTTTTAGTGTCATTTTTTGGTCTTTCAAGTTTGTGATATTGACTGAAAATATTTACAAAAGTCAAATCTATACTCAAACTAAATGTGCACCAGTCATAAGAAAAACAAACCCCATATATTCAAAACCATGATCTATCATAAAAATAAACAATATCTAATATCCCCTTTCCCCCACCATTCAAGAATCAATATCACAATCAAACACCAGAACACCAAGGGGCATTTCATTTGCAAAACAAAAAATAGGAAGCTTATAGCCAATACTCATAACATCAAAGACAGTTGTAGATACAGGGTTGGGTATTCAGTCTCATATGATTTTAGAAAATATGTATGCACAAGGACCAAAGGGAAAAGACCTAAAATTGTAACAGAACACAGTAAAATAGAGTCAAGTCCCAAATTCTACAATTCAATCTTTATATAGTCAAGTCCCAAAATCTGCAATTCAATCGAGGTAGAGTCAAGTCCCAAAATCTACAATTCAGTCTTGATAGAGTCA